GCAACACGCCACATGAATGCATAATTTCTACGCGACATGGGAGGAGGGGAATTACCGTCAGGAATGTCACCGTCAAAAGCATAAATGCATGCCACAGCAACAATCCCTGGCGGCTTTCTAATGCACATAACGAGTGAAACAAAGTAGAAACGCAGGAATAAACTAAAATAATAATAATAATGAAACCACTCAAAAGTGCGCATATATGTGCATTCCTAGATGAGAATCTATTCGTAGCCTCATCTCACCCACGGTTCGTTCTTACTCGTGTGGCACTCTTCCTCACGTTATATCGATGGCATGCGACGGCACACCATGCAAGGCAGGAAACAAACGAACAACAACTCGTTGACGCCCAGAAAGCTAGCAAGCAGGGAGAGAGTAGAGGAAAAAGGCTCATTCTTCTGCTTCGCCAAACGTATGGGGCGACCTCGGTCGCTTCCAAACCTGCATGCTCCTTTTATTTTATAAATCGTAGTGGCAACTTCCCCTCTTCTTGCATGTGAGAGCATGCGATGCTCGGGTTTGGGCCTGCAACTTCTTTCCTCGCAAGCTCGACATTGGCGCAGTGGCCGCCCAGAACACACACACATGCATACACATACACACACAGACAGACACACACCGTTATTGGCCGGCGCTGCTTGTCGAACGCCGCATCAATGCGGCCAACACCCCCCACACAAAGTAGCCAATACCACTACAAAAAAAAAAACACAACACAACAACAACAACGTAAAGAAAAAAAAAAATAAAGTAAAAACTAAAAAAAAAAAAAATAAGAAAAGTAACACCAACGACAACGGTCACACACACACACGCAAGAAGGGGGGGAAAAAAAAAACGGATAGAATAGAAACGTCAAACAAACATCATCGTGACACACACCAAGCATAAAACACGTAATTAAAATAAATAAAAACCACAATGACAAAAAATAACGACAAAAATAAGTTTAAAAAAGTTTAAATAGGAAAAATAAACAAATACATTTGGTCTTGTCACTTCCACATGCTTCCTACCGCCCCACTTTGGGCCCGAAGCCGAGTGGCGGTCAACAGCGCCCATCACACAAAGAAACTCCCACTAAAGATTTAGTCACGCACTAATTTCTCTCTTTTTCCCTACCTTTCCCACAGTATTTGCAGTTTGCACTGATGTACGAGCGTGCCCATGGAAAAAAATATTCAAGATGAAACCACATTTTTTCATGAATATAAATGCAGGAGGAGTAGAGAAAGAGGAATAGTGTACGAGGGAAGCTCCGTGTAGCCCGCCAAAAGAGCGGCCTTTGTTGTGGGGCGGCGAATTCAACATATATTTCTTGGTTTTTGTTTGTTTCTTCTCCGCTTCAACTACAGTACGGGTGTCGCCAGGTCTTAGCCCATGCATGGTTGGTAACACCGCGGCATGAGACGCACTGGCTCCAGCAAACAGAATAAGTACACCCCCACACACAAAAATAAAATAAAATAATAATAATAATAATAATAATGCGGCAGCTACAGAACAAAAAACAACAACAAAGATATCATGCATAACTCACTTCTTAAAAATAATGCAAAATACACACAAAAGAATATAATTACGGCTCACATGTAATTGTTGGGGTATTCCCTAATAAGCATCAGTACGACACAAAGTTAAGCACACTGCTTCATCTCCTGTCATCTTGCATCACCTCCTTTTGCGCCCTGTCAGTAACAGAGGCTCAATACGACATAAAACAAAGAGATGATCCGTCATTCATGTTGACCTCCTGTGGAGGGAACATAAATGTTGTATACATTTCATGAGCCGATAATGACAGTGGGGTTTTTGGTCCTTGCAAGAGGTAGAACTGCGAGGTGGGCGCAAAATAAGAAGATGGGTTCCCCGGTGGTGGACCAGGTTCAAATTGCCGCCGTTGTAATTCCTGTTGTGGCTGCGGTTGGTAGGGATCTCCGTGTGGCGGCACGTTCGCAGCTTGGCGTACAGGCGCCGGAAAAAATACAAGCTGCGTATTTGGCATGTTGGTGTCAGATGTCTTACTTTGCGTGGGAACAACGCCTGATGACGCTGTCGCCGAGGCGGCGGGCGACGAGGGAAGCGAAAGGCGCAACATGGAGCAACCTGTCCTTAGAGTTTCCGCGGAACTGTCCGTAGGCGCCATGGTACTCATCTTCTGTGCGGTTGACGTCGACTGGAAAGCGATGTTATTGCAATTTTCACTATTTGTAGAATCCTCATCCAGGGATCGCTCCGTCTCCGCGCGCTCTCCGGCGTAGCTCACCACATGTACAAACTGACAATTTGGACCAAAGCAGCAGACGCCATTTTTGGAGTAGTTGGCACAGTGCTGCAGGGCAACAGCTGGAGGTTCGTTGCGTAAGAAACGTCCATAATGCTCCTGCACAACTTTGGTCACAAAAAGCCGCCCACTGTCAAATTTCTCTACAGGCTTTGGGTTATTTGGCATCGCCACACGGAATGTGACGCCTGAAGGGAGTACTGGATACGCCCACGACGGGGTCCATCGTGAGTGCAACGCATGCCAGAGCAACGCATTTGGTGGGGACCGTGGGCCTTTTTCCTTCGGCTCCGCCGAGGTTGGACACCCGTTGGCGTTGCTAAAGACGTTAAAAACACTGGCCTCCAGAGCGCTCTCTGCAGTAAAGGGACAGTGTACTTCTCGGCAAAGAAACCCATTCTTGCATTGTTTACTCTGGTTGTACGAGGTACATAAAAACAGCTTGTTCTGAACCCTGTTCGGCCCCCAGCGACTATATTCGTAGAGATAGTCCAGTACTCCGTGTGTGAGATACACGTTCTCGGACAGCGTGGCATAGATGGTTCGCATGTGATGCGCGAGAAACCACAGATAAAATCCCTTTGGAAGGGTGAGAGATGCAAGCTTTTCCTCCGGGACACCCGCGAGCTCCTCCACGGTGGGGAATTCAACACAAAGCCAGCGCTTGTTGCGCTTCCGACGCCGTGCCGGTGTGAGTGCCATGCGTGATGGAGAAAACAACTAGCCGAAAAAAAGGGTGGTAGCAAAAAAAAAAAGCTAAAAATAACGAAAACTAAGAAAAAAACAAAAACTCGCAAAAAAAAAAGGAAACACGGAACCACCTAAGGGTGGAAGTGAAGAATTATTTTTCACTGTGTATGTATAAATGCAGCTTTTTTCAAATTTTATTGCTCTTGTTTCTTGCGCCTTCCTTGCTGCAAAACACCTCTTGACTGTGGTGATAAAGCGCTCTACAAGTAATACAAGTAAGGACGATAGGCAAGTTGTTACAACAGTAAAACCTACGGAGAAAGAAAAAAAAGGAAAAAAAAACATCTTTGCGGGTGCGCGTACTTTCAACAACAAAAACAAACAAACAAACAAACTTGTGCACAGCTGTAAAAACGTACTGGCACGTACGCACGCAGAGACGCAGGAGGGAGAGTAATTGTGCGCTACAGTTATGAGCAAGAGAACTCGATGCGTGTCATTGGTCAAAATCCGTGAGGGAAAGAAGCGTGAAGGATAAAAAGGTGGGGAAACCGACAGCAGTGGTACATACACACAACCACACACTAAAGGGCAGCTTTCCGTATCACTGGGAAATCTGATCTGTCGCATACATGCGGCTTACACACTCGCCTTCAATGGCACAAACGCGTGTCCACTTCTACACGAACTTATTCTTCTTTTTCAATTCTTCGTATTTCGAATCTTGTGCCTTCCGTTCACCACTCATCAAGCAGGTTGGCGGGGAGTTAAAACCCAGACAGCTGACACACGCAGACGCACTGCCCTCACAATCGTTTACAAAAGCCTTCACTGGCAGGACTGAGAGACGAAAGGGACCACCTCACCGATAGGAGGCGTGCGTCAGGCACCAGCAACCTGCAAAACAAAAAAAAACCACACACAACAAAAAAAAAAAAAGAACTTAAGGGAGCCTTCGAATAATTGAATAAATAAAAACAGCAACAACAATAACAATCAACGCGAAAGAGAAGAAAATTCAACTCAAATACTGCACTTGTTTCTACAAGTCACTTCACCGCTCAAGCCATTCACATTTCTCACTCCTCTACCTGTCCTTCTAAAGATGGATATGCAAAGGCGTACTCTCATAGCCGCCACCTGGAAAAGGTATAAAACAAAACAGAAAACAACACATAGAAACAAACAAAATAATGTAAAGCAAACCTTACTCTGTCGTTGTTCTACATCATTATCATTGCAAGGGTGATCATAATCCATGATAATGAGCAACTCAAGTCTGATCCAGTTTGTCCCCGTCCTTCTTCCCTCATTAAATGTATACATAAACATATACATTCATCGATGTAGGTCCTTGCGTGTATACACCATGCTGTTACTGTTTTCCAACAATCCCTCCCTCCCTCTTATTCGTCCCCTTAGGAAACACTCTCTACATCTAGCATGTCCTGGAGCTGTGTTACCCGCACTACAGCATCCTTTCGCCTGGAACGCCATTCACCTTCAAGATCCTGCAAATTATCCGTCCTGAAGAGAATACGCATCAGCTCCTCATAGTAACCTTTACGTCGATGCATTGATAAGCCTCCGTCTTTAATAGCTGCCTCGATACTTACTGTGTCCGTCTCAATCTCAAGAAGCATAACTTTCTGGGGTTCGCTGTATTCATGGGATGCAAAGTACAACGTGTACAGGCCGGACGCATCAGGATTTATTGAAATCAGGGAAGCGGGAGGTGCACCACCATGAATCCCATACGAATTCAGCTTGACATCTGACCCACTCAGTAGCTTCCCGCGAAACACCACTTTGGCGCCTGCAAGGCGCGGTTCTTGAGACAAGACCTCCAGCAACAAGTCACCCAGTGTGGCATCGCAGGACAACTCCAGATAAATGTTCTTCTTGAGTGCAGGAGCCGTACACTTGAGTGATATATGCGGGGCTACGGGTGTCGCGTCACCTGTATGGGCTGAGAGCGCTCTTGTCGCCTCCGCATTGGTGTCCCGAGAAGTCAGCGACGCATGTCTTAAACCTGCGTCTTGTGTATTAAGTCGAGGCGTCTTCTCCGGTGAGCCCGTTTCACATGTGCTCACTATTGGAGCACTTGAACGAGAAGGATTCCCGACCAAGTTCAAAGGGATCTCCTTTTCGTCGTGTTTAGTGCGGGACGGACTTCGCTGTGGAGTAGACATATGAGCATCCGAATTTGCACGCTTACCCAAGCCAACAGGCTGTTTTTTATCATTATTAGCGCGTGGTGTTCTCATTCCGCCTGAATGCATGGAACTTGAATGTGCCCCACTGGGCAAAGATCCAGAAAACGCATCTAACGCTTCACTCTTTGAATCACGTGAATCGAGGCTATGTTGATCTTCTCGTTCTTGTTGTTGCTGCTGCCGCTGCTTTTTATGCAACTGTTGTTGTTGGGCTCCCATGGAAAATGTGGAAGTATATGGCTCCTGCCGCGTCTGTTGCGGTGCTTGATGTCCGTAATTTTGTTGTTGTTGTTGTTGTTGCAGTTGTTGCGTTTCTTTGTGATACGGTTGGTACTGCAGCCGCCGCGTACGTGATCCGGTACGCTGCTCGCTGTGGGGTTGTTGTTGCTGCTGGTTATACGGCTGCTGCTGAGCACGGTGCTGTTGCTGGTTGGATTGTGATCGAGGACGCTGCTGCTGCTGCCATTGTGGCTCATGGTGCTGATTCATCAAGGGCTCCTGCTGCGCCTGGTAACACCACTGGGGCGCATCCTGCGGACTGACAAGAACAAGCGACCCAAACGGGAACTCCTGCACGAGGCGGGCATCCCCAACAACGTGCCTGTCATAGGCAAGAGACGTACCCGGCGGGTAGCCGTAATACCCAATAAGGTACTCACGCAAGTCGCCCACCGTGCAATCTTTAGGGACCTCCGCGTCCATAATTTCCCCGCGAATAGACCGTATTTGCACACAGGCCATTTGCCCATGGACGCCACTATATATAGACATTATCGGCGTTCAGAATAGCTTTCCGCCCCGTTTTTATTCGTTTCACTTTGGATAATTCGTAGTTGGGGTGAATAAAAGAAGTGGTTTGTAACCTTCAGTGTGTGCGTATCTAGTAGATCTGTGTATGTATGCGTATAAACCTGCGCCTGTGTACGTGTGTATGCGTATTCTCCTTGTATGTTAACGCAGAAGCAGTAGTACCCGGGGCGCGAATCCGAACGCTAGAGACAACTGTCGTGTCAAAGTGGAATAACAACAGCAATACAAAGAGGAAGAGGGGAAAAAGAGAGGAGAATAATCATAATGAAGATAATAATAATAGCAGACTGTGTCGCTGCAAAAGCAACAATAAATCCAAATGACAAACACGGCAGGACCAAAAACATTAATACGACGCGACACCTTCCATCAAGCAAGTCTTCCGTACCTGACTGGCTGGTTTGGCGTGTGGAACTCCCTTGCATATCTGTGCACCACCTGCTCAAACGTCATGCCAGGATCCAGCAGCGGCTCCACGTATGCGCGCAACGCATCCGCCTCCCATCGTCCAGAATTCAGCTCAAATAGCTGCTCCATACGCCGCGACAGATCAGTGGCAAGCTCATCCCGCGGTGCCCAGACAACTGTCGCGCCGGCATGGCCATCACCACGTGCCCCATGGATAATAACAACGCCATGCAACAGCGACATAAGAGCCGCCAGATCGGATCGCGGCGGAACTCCACCAGATGCAAAAAACGAAGTCGGGATGCTATCTGTCCACGTGCCATAAAAGGACTCAAAGTCAACCGAACAATACAAAGCGATTTCATCACCACGAAATTGAGTACACGGTTCCTCAACGCCAGCACGAGCCTTGAGAACAACAATGGCAACCTCGGCCAGCGCTTGCAGCACCTTTTGCATGTGAAGTAACGCCGCTGCCCCTTTTCCCCCTTCCACATGCTTCAGTGCACCGTAAACTCCTTGGATCACATGAATAACAATGCTTGGGTAGACAGACGGGCAAAAGTGCTCCTCCACCGCGCCCCACGAGGCGTCCTCGCAGCCCTCCATAAAAACAATCACTGCCTGAAGAGCCTCACGCAAAAGGGAGGGGTGCAGCAGACGAACGTGCCCGTGATATACAATAGCTCCTGCGCCACAAAGCATGTCTGACAGCTCCCGCGCACTGGAGTGGCTCATCGACACAAGCTGTGAAAATGTATAGTGTTGACTATCCATGCCGTCGGGTATAGTCGTTTTGACCTCGGCAGAATCGCCTGGTAGTTGGATATATTCAGACTCAAGCTCCTCAATGGTGACGGGAGATGCCTTTATTAGCCTCAAGACATCTCGAGAAGCACAAGATGGTTTTGCCTCAAAGAGGCGTTCTGCAGCGCTAATAACGACGTGTTTGGAAGTCTCCTCAGCCTTTGAGAAGGCACTGCAACCTGGTACAGATACACTCTTCAGAGCGTCTCTGTCACAGTCACACATTGGGTGCTTCTCGGCAAGAAGAAGTGTATTTGAGTACTCCACGCGACGAATCCGGTACGTGTGATCATCATCACAGAGCAGCAACTGAGAGGTGCCTTTCATCATGAGCAACGTCGTGTTGTTGCCAGTTGCTGCTGCTGTAGTTGGGGAGGTCGCGGGCCCATGTGTCGTCAGCTTATCTTTTAGACTCTGCACACACTTCGCCTCTAGTGCCAGAAGGCGGTAGTCAGAGCGCGTCGCAAATTCAGATCGTAGCGTCACGTACGTCATCAAAAGTACACCCACGCAGAAGTTGTGTGCCTGTCCCTCCTTCAACGCCTTTTCTCCTCGTGCTTCCTCTTGAGCCCCGCCCACCGCCCACACACTCCCCCCCACCCCCTACCACACTGAGCAACGCCCTCAACTCCTAACAGTAGTAATTCACAACAGGAAACAAACAAAAAACAAAAAATAGACATAAATGTGCCAGGGACCATCCGACAAGCAGCGGCTCTGCAAGTGCAGGAAGAGAATTGGATAGCACCGTCCTTTCGGGCGGCAATCTTCCTTCTCTTCTTTTTCACAATCTTCACCCATGATTCCACCGACTGTTTTTTAGATGCCGCAAAGAGGAGTGGGGTGAGGAATCAAAAAAAAAAAAAATGGCCTCTCACCGGCCCCATATACATGGGCGTATTTTTCCAGCGCCAAAACAAACAAACACAAAAAAAAAAAGACTCGCCACGTGTTGCCGATCTCTCCCTTCGGTTCACCCTATTTCCTTGGCCGCAGCTCAAGGCGCAGGGAACCCGAAGATGATCATTCAAATGTGCACACAGCCAATACGCTTTTAGTATTATTATTTATGTATTTATGTGTATTTATTTATTTATTTGTCTTCAAAATTCTTCCATAAACATTTTGTTCTTCTTTAATTTCTATTTGCCTCTTCACACCAACCCCCCCACCCCACCCCCACTACGCTACCCGTCACACTCCTCTTCATTCAATCGTGTGGAAAACGCAAGGCGAACGACGCACCAGCTGTTTATGTATGTTGTATCCTCCTCCTCCCCTTCTTTCCCCATCCTCCCTGTGCATGTCACGTCTGAGTGACTGGGCCGACGCTTCCCCTCTCACATACACGTACGCAGCGAAGGACAGAGAGGAACAAGTCAAAACAAAAATAATTATAACTCAGAAAAAAACAAAAAAAAACAGCAACAACGCAAACGACGCACATGTTAAGCATAGGAAACGCGTGGCACGTTGTAAAACACACCAAAACAGTAATTGATACTCGCACAATGAAATGAAATTGATTTTGTTGCTGTTTTGATAAGCCGAGTGAAGCGAGTGAAGTAAATAGATTTTAGCACGTTAACTGCACGCACACACTCACCATACCATCCCAGCATTGCTGTTTTTAATTGTTGGGATTGTCACTTCGCGGAGGGCCTGTGTTTCGCCCGCTTTTTCCATGTCATCCTGCAAAAGTCATCTACACAAACATATTCACACACACACACACACACGAAGACACACAGATCTATATACTCTTCTTTTCAGCCTTCCTTCCCGTCTCTGATGTGTGATTGGTAGCCAAATCCTTTTGTTGTTTCACACCTCCTGCACGCCCAGTTCAGCCAAACAATGGGCCGTCCAGTAATTTCTATTCCACAGTTTACGTATTAGATTCCGTCTGGGTGCCTGTACTTTGCCATCCCGTTTCTCTCAGTCGCTGTCTCTCTCACAGCGGCCACGCATACACAATAGCTGAAGAACGAAGCAACTGCAACAGCAATGGAAAGGGCACAGGCCTTGAAGTATACAAGCAACCAGACGGATAATTACATTCAAAAGTAAATAGAAAATAATAAACCAAGAAGCAGAAAATCAACAGCAATTTCACGTACACGATCAGCAATAAGAGGAAAAAGCACACCATTTCCACTTGTGTGTTCTTTGCTTCTACTTCTTTGAGTTCGCCTTTCCCTCTTTCCCTTCTTTTTTATTTTTATTTTTTCCTTCTTCACTATTAATTGTGGGTGCAAAGAAACGGTGGTGCTTTCCCCTCACCGACCCATTATTACCCATTGGTGCTGCACGCCCATCGTTTTTTATGTTTCCTGCCTTTTTGTTTATGTCGCCGGTGGTATGTTCATTCTGCCGTTCCTTTCATTATTTGATTCCTCATTTTTTACCCCCAATTTTACTTCCTCTTCCCTTGTCAGGAACCACAGCCAGGGACCAACCCCCGCAACACACAGCTTCATTTTTCATCATTAACAGAGAACTGCTGCTCTCCGCAGCCACCGTGATCCATGGTGGCACGCAGATGCCCACATACACTCAAACAGGCAGGGAGAGTTGCAAAGATGCAGATACTGCAGATGACAATAAGAACGCTGAAGCGGCAATCATTACTGTGCTGGCAAGAAGCCCAGCAAAGAAAAAAGAGCAAAAAAAAAAGATGGAAAAAACATGAACAATACCGCTCTCGCGTATGCGAAGATACTGTCCGTCTTGTATCAAACCTGCCTCATTGCCTCTTCCTCCCTCTCTAGTGAATGGGCAAAAAATACACGGGTTAGCACGTATAGAAATGTGTCTACACCTGGGTGCAGATGGTAAGGTACGTGCCTGTTTCCGTCCGCGGCGCTTCCAAGTGAGGTGCGCCTGCCGACAGTGCATATGCATATTCGGAATAAAACAAAAAAAAAGCAGATGATAACCACAACAACCAAAAAAAAAAAAAAAAAACAAACTAAGAAACGCCGTGCGACGCCAAGAGAGGCGGCACGCTGCTGAGTAAAATATGCGGAAGAAAGACATCCACAAAAAAGGATTATTTTTTTTTCTTTGTTATTCGCTTACGCCCCCGACAACACGTACATTGGATGAGATACCCAAATAAAAAAAAAACGTGGATTCCCGCACACCAACAAACACGGAAGAGATAAAAAAAACCAAAACAACAAAGTTTAGGTCCCTCAAGCAAACAAAAGAAAATAAGTGAAAAGAAACCAACAAACAAGAAGCTCAGCATAGGAAGGAAAAATAATAATAACTATGAGCAGACCAGCAATGAAGCCGCTCACGCCCCGCAATACCCCTCATCCTACAGAGCCTCTTTATCGTTTTCTTTTGCTTGCTTATGGTTTTCCGGTATTCCCCTAATGCCGGTTACTCTCCCTCCTGAAAGATCAGGTAAATGCGAAAACGCGCAGCGAGGATAACATCTGCGTGGGTCAGGCGTATACGACGCCCACGTTGCACTTACAGGAAGCGGGAAAGAATAAATATATACATGCACATAGTTAAGCGCATCCCTGCGCCTCCAATTTCTCCTCCGCCTCTTCCCTCCCCTCCTCTCCCTCAGAAAAAAAAAGGAAGAAAAAAGATCAGCGCATCGATATGAACAAAAGCGGAAACACAGAAAAACAAAAAAAAAAAAGAAAAGACTGCGAATTCCAATAAATAAAACGCAAAAACGACATCATGTCACTCTATCCATCACCATACATCTTACAGTAACTTCTTTTGCTTTTTTCCCTTTTGAATCATGTTGCCGTAATTCTGCCGTTTTGGCCCGTACATTATGTGACTCGAGCGTCAAGTAGCAAAGAAAAAAAAAAACAAAAAACAAAAAAAAAGCCACAAATAAAACAAAACAAAACAAAAATGAGGAAAGTAAGCATTTTCTACCTCCCATTCTTTACTCCCTTATATTCAGGAATACACACAAATAAAAAGAAAAAAAGAGTTTGTAAGTTAGAAGAAGATTTTAACTTGCTACTCTTTCTCTTCCTCCCCATGTTGTTTCCAAAATTCCCTGTTCAGCATCATGACCTGATGACTCCATCCCCACCATCTTTTCTTGTCCCTCTTTTTTTTTTATTTTAAATTTTATTTGTTTGTCTTTTTTAATGCATCCAAATCCTCCTAAGGTGTGCGACTCACAAGGTGAATGCATCTACACACATGTACACACGTTGATATACATATATATATATATATATTCATATATCTTCATGTGTATTGTTGAGAGAGGGGAAAGTTCTCTGCGATGGTCCATTTCACTTTTTATTCCTCTACCTTTATTTCCATTTCATTTATTTAGATTTTTGTTTTCCTTTTTGACTGTGGTGCTACTTAGTTTTCCCAAGATTCGGGTGTCTAAACTAAAGTAGCGAGCGAGCCACGCCCTCGCTGCCTGCTGCGCTGGATATTAGGTTTTATTCCCCTCCCCCCCCTTCCCTTCCTATTCTTTTCCTCTCCATCTCCCTTTTTTTTTTTGTTCTCCCGCTTTGCACTTATCTTCTACTGAGGAGAAGAGGCATCACCGTAGGGATTGTGCCGCTGACTCGTCAAGCCCCGGGAAGGAGCAACTCCTCCCAAAGGACGAAGCAATGGTCCCCTCACTACCCCATCCTCGCTGTCGCCACTGGCCATATTTTTCATACGGTAACTGAAGGACGTACGACTACGAGGTACACTAGCAAGAGAACCGCACCCACTCTCGCCTCCAAGGAAGGAAGTACACTGGTTATTATAGTTCCCGTAGTGACCATTCAGACCACCTGTGGGATAGCCCCCGTTGAAACTACAGGCATTAAAGCTGCTAGCATTGAGAGATTGCGCAGCCCCGTTGGCGTCCTCAGTGTGAAGCCCACACATATTTTGTGAGTGGCCATCACCAGCGACGTCTCCATTGTTATGATGCATGTTATTGGCGGTTGAAGCAGGAACACTGCCAGAGAGAGACGCCCTGTTGTGCACGCGTGGAATGGATACAGGTGTTGCGCTGATATACTCATCGCCGTCCAGCGGTATCTCTCGGCAAATGTGCAGAAAACCGCACTCCTCACCAAAGCGGCACAAACCGCGTCGGTGCTCGCGACAGACACGCCCCTTCGACACGGCAAGTTGACTCTCTCCATGCTCGTTGTATATACTCCACAGGTAGTTTGTCGGATTTAGGGAGTGGAGCCCGACGGTTTTGCTTCCAATGTTTACCGTTAAAGCGAAAGGCAACCCTTCGTAATTGCATGGAGCCCCATGCAGATAACAGCAAGATGGGGTCTCAAGGGTTTCCTTGCGGAGAAACTCCAGTACATCCTGCTGAACGTGAACCTGAAAACAACGACTGCCTTGCTTACATCGGCCCTCAAGAAACAGACGACAAATGCCCGGCACAAGTCCATCATCCTGTAACGCATTCGTTGGCTCCACCGCACTGGTGGGAATCTTAAGCTTCGTGCTGAGATGGTCCAATGCCTCCACGTACTTCACCGTTGACTGCTGGGGCGTCCGCACACGACGAACCGTTGTGTGTATAGGAGTGTGAAGTGACTGACACCTGTGACTCGACCCAAAAGAGTTGGCAGAAGCACTTGGATTCAGCGTAAGCGACATTGTGATTGTCCTTTTCGTTTGTTTGTCGTACTTTATATGGCCTCTTTTTTTTCTTATGCTTGTTCTCTCTCTCTCTCTCTTTACGGCTCCCACGGTTATTGTTCTTTTTTACCGTATCCCTTGCGTGTGGGGGTGCAGTAGATGCGTGTCCACCTGCCTGGTCCTAATTGTGTGCGATTGGCTCCCACGCAGTAAACACCTCTTACACGACGAGGTTAAAGACAACCACAACAAAATATCCACTCTTTTCCTCGTCCTTTGAAACTTTTTGGCTTTGGCTTTATCCTCAGTACAACCTTCGACGCTCAGAGTCTCTAGTTTGTCTTTTGCGTGTTCCCTCCAATAAAATAAATAAATAAATAAAAACACACACACACACAGCTTTCCTTCCTTGGCAGAGATGGCGCCCTTAATCAGCTAATCCTTACCAGCAGAAAAAAAGATACACACAGGAATAAATGAGGGCAAAAACAAAAAGAGGCACACGCCACATCCTAACTCGCACACACAAGTCACTGCCCTAACCCCACCCTAGATGAAATGGCACATCAAGGCATATTTACCGGGTTGTGCGTTCCCTCCCGCCCCCTCCACCCGTAACATTCGCCGTCGTGGAAGGGACATAACTAAAAGGAAGCGTGCACACACACACAAAAAAAGCACGAAATCACAACAACGGTCTTCCCTTCTCCCTTGGGCACGGTATTTGTTTAGGCAAGCCACCGCAATGCACACACCCCACGCACCCAACAGCTCCAACTATTATCATGACTTCTTCTTTTTGAATTTTTCCTTTGAAAGTTTTTTTTTTTGTGTGTTTGTGCGAGCGTGTGCATTTCAACACCTCCCGTTGCTTTAATATCTTCTTTTTTTTTTTCCTCTCGAAATGGTGTGTGTTGCCCCTTTCGAAACCTCGACAAGGAGGCACCACGCACACCAGAGCAACGAAAGAGGAGATGGGAAAAGTACTGACACTTTCCTGCGGGTTGGAAGAAGCTCTAACGTCCCCCTTTCCCCGCCACCTCCCCTCGCCTTTTATCCAACAACATGGCAAACAAAAGTGGTTGCGTCCTCAAGCGTTGGCTGAGTCCGCGGAGCTCTATGCGTGTGAAACAGAGATTTACGTATGCCATGTAGACTTGTATACAAATACGCCCTTCAGCACAGCCCCTCACACCTCCCCACTGGAATTCCCCAGCTTTCTCTTCCTCCAAACACGTTTGAGCACTCCCCTGCAGCAAAGCATGGCACAGGGGTCAACGCCACCCACGTTCTACCTTGGGGTTCTGTGCGAGACACGTTCGCACCGGCGGAAACCGAGTGAAAACAAAAAAAAACACAATCGGTTGTATGAGTAACAAAAACACAATGTGATACATACGTACATGAGTATCATAGACGTTAATGAAGATGAAGGAAAGACACACACACACCCCACCCCCATGAAATAAAATAAACTCAAACCTCCACGGGACACTGAGGTGCCAGCGGGTTTATTGGGGCCGCGATAGCCGTGCCGCGTCCGACAATGCTCACAATACCGTCTGAATCACCAGCAGTGCTGTTATGGACGGAAATAATCGTGCTGGCGAGAGACAGTAACGCCCTTTGCCGTTGCGATAAATCTTTTGGCTTCGCCCCCATTTTCCCCTTCAATTTCCGGTCCCATAGCACCTGCATCAGATCCATGAGCGTCGGGCTTACCATAACCGTGAGACAGTTTTGGACTTGTTGCTGGCGGAGTACCTGCAACGGGGTCATTCGAGATCCGCCAACGCTCAGCATGGCATCCCGCAGCTGCGACATGAGCGATACGTGTCGTCGAAACATGAGAAAGCTTGGTGGCAAGCTGGCACGCACCGGGAGCGACTTCGGCTGTACTCCATTCACTACAATCAAAATGGATGTGGCAGGTGTCGCAGTTTTCTTCTTTTTCCAAAAACACCACGAACCCTTCGAGGGATGCACGAATTTTGGCGACGGAGCGGGTGGGGTAACGTCAGAGAGAAGACTACCGCCAACAACAGACAGTTTGCCACTTTTTGCATTACTGCATGCCACCAAGACGTGACCTGCACACCACGTAGCCGTCTCACCATCGCCCTCCTCCACGTCGTAACAGGCCTCAATGCAAATTGTATCAGCCACGTTACCTGCAAACAAGACACGCTCATTTGTATCGCAGGCGAAGGTCCACTTAAACCCACCCTTTTTGGATCTCTTTATTGAGGCAACGGGAACGTCGACAGCTGGCATCCACGTACCCCCCAATGTTTTCCTTGCACTCACAAGACAGTAGCAACGTGCCCCTTCAGGCGTCGGCGCACTCAATCGCAGTTTTTTAAGGCCAACTTCGTAGTACACGTCGTTGGAATTCATCGGCGCCGTCTCTTCAAAACCAACTCCATCAGAGGCAGGACGGGGCGCCCAATCAACACGCCGACGCAGCTTCTCCATCACTGTTCCACCAACATCCCTCTGGCGTTCAGGAAGAGTATCGCACAAAATCGCCTCGTCACCGTTCGTCAAATATTGTTCCTGCAGGCGTCGGTGCGCGGACAATCGCTGCAGGTGCTTCACGGGGTTCATCACCGACACCAATGCATTTTCCATCAAAATTGACTTCGCCCCTGGGCCAGCCCCGGACGTGGCGGGTAGGAGTGCTGCAAGTAACGGGTTGTACAGGACCGCGGACGACGACTGATCCTCCACAATGCACGCCTCGACAACAAAACAAACATGAATGAGTGCCTCAAGCTGGACCATAATACTCTTGGCAAGATCAGGCGATGTAATCTTTTGGATGACCTTTCGATTTCCCACGTAGATAGAACTGTTTCGATCATCCCAGTACAATTTTGTGCCACCAGTACGAAATGCACTGCTGCATACATTTACCCGCTCCTCACTTATTTGTGTCTGAAGCGGTAATGGTTCCTCACCTTCAACAGTGGCATTGGGTGGACCAGGGAGTGGCATCTGTTGAATAACGCATAACAAGGGAGTGTGCCCTTTCGGGGAAAATATACATACACTCAATGTAATATTCTCCACATGTTGATGGGCGATACCGCAACGACCCAGTAATTCCAGTGCCACATCCACAGACACCTCACCAGACTGAAACTTATCATGCGCCAGGAACATGGAGGTAATTCGTCGAAGGAGAGACTTATGTGCGTACGTATCCAACATTGCGAGCGCGGCGTTACGATGCATCGGCATCACACACCCCTTTAATGCAACAGCGCGTTCTTCTGCGGTTTCCACACCAACTGCCTTTAATGCAAACTTCAAGCTCTTCTTGATGAAGTGATGACACGGGACATCCATTAAAACCTCGCTGGTATCCCCCACATTTTGACTTTCACTGCATACGTCCTTCTTCGTCTTGGGGTTAGACTTTGCCTTCTTCGACTTTCCACCATCCCCCTTCGCTTCCGTCGCATCTGATGCCGTTTTCTTATTCCACGCCTCCCTTTGCAAAGAGTTTCTCTGAACTTCCAACAGTTGTTCAAGGAAATGCAAAAGCGTGTCGTTGGCCGAGCCACGGGGCACCAGGCAAGCATGTGGCAAATCACGGAATTGTGGTGCCTCCTCCGGTGGTGTAGTCAGCAAAACCACCTCACGAATCTGCGTTAGTAGCATTGACTGCGGCACATCATTCAACCCTGTCCTCTCACTAAGAATGTCCTTTTCCACTGAATACGTCGACGTTGCATCAGCGTGGTCAAGTTCACTTGATGTTTTCAACAAACTATTCGTACTACTTCCAGTTATCAGAGAAGTCGTTGACTCTGTGGTCTGTGTTGCTTCGCCCACACCATGATACTGAGGCGGTGCATGTACCTTCGCGGGCTTGAGCCGTGAGGACCCAGAGGAACTACCTTCTCCTGCTTGTGTGGTACTTCGAGTTAATTTCGATTCATCCTCCTCCAGCGTTGTAGTGGACGAAAAAGCTTGGCGCTGTATAGGTGAAAGCTCTTCCATTTCCTCGCCTGTGTAGGAATACGAATAACTCTGGGATCCATCGCTTCCAACGACTTTCCGTCTGTCTCTCGCACTGCTGCTCTCCGTTCCTGTGGATGAGCCCGTGATAGTTTGTGAACCTCCTGTTGTACCTGATGTCGGTGTCTGTGACGTGGTGCTCCCAGTGATGGAGCTACTGTTGCTGTCCCTGCTTCCCGTCACACCTGAATAGGAGTAGCTGCTGCTGTAAGATCCCGACGTCGAACCGCCGTAAGAAGAAATATGCGTTGTGGAGTCCACGTCCCGTCCATCTCCCGTTAAGGGACTTCCTGAGTAGGTGTAGGACGAGGATGATTCCACTGGCCTCACAACTTCATTTTTATTCCACCGTTCGTCCCGTATTGTTTTATATTTGCCCCTTTTTGTTGATACTGTGCTGTAGCTGTAACCATCGCTAGAGACAGAATAACTGTCACCATTACTTGCCTCGTCTTCCTCGTCGCTATAGCTGTAACTATAACTATACTCCTCGCTGTCGCCATAGCTGTCAGATGAGGCACTCACAGTATTGGTTGATTTTCCTCTCGCCGTTTCAGAAGAGCGCACTTGAGTGACTTGAGGTGGTATGGGCCGCCGTGGTATTTGCGGCACGCGTGGTGGTAAATCTGGGCGCGTCGGCAACAGCTGCTGCCCTGTCTGCAACACGATCTTTGCCGTCTCCTTCTCCGTCTCCGTAGGGGAATCTGTTTCAGTGTAGCTGTAGCTGTAGGAGGACTCGGTGTACGACGTCGTCGACACGCTTGTCTCAGCAGGCGCTGATGGCTGTGGCGCAAAAATAGCCCCCGGCGGGGGTGGTGCTTTCCACATGCGCTCCTCTCCTTAAAATTCCCACCCTTGTCCTCTATGGTTGTATGTATGCACAAGTGAAATGCAGATGATGTTCCCCCGCTCGTAAAAACACCGTAAGTTGGGTACAGAATGATCAACACAGAAAAAGACGGCCAGGGACACACTCCCTGCTCAAGAGGCAAATGGTGTCTGGGTCGCGCTCTATATCAGTTGGTGGACAGATGCCTTCGTGTATGTTATGTCTATGTACGTTGTAGGGGTGCAAGGACGGTAGTAGTCCTGCAATGAAGCAGGACAAGACGGATAGGCAGTTAGATAGATCGAGAAAAAAAGCAAAATTTATACCAAACAAAAAAATAATAATAATCCGCGGGACACCAAGTAACGATAATGCACACGCACGCGGCAGATATTCTGTCACCCAAAAGATGACTCAATGGGGTCACGCTTCATATATATTCCCTGTTATTACTTCATTCAAATTGCTCCTTCATGAACAATAAGATAATATCATTTTCAATGCATTTCAGGTTCTTTTTTTTTTTCTATCGTTAACAACACACTATCCGCTCATACATATATATATATATATATGTCTTTCACTTAATGATCCTATGCATGCATTTATTATTGTCTCGAACTCTCTATTAGTAAATCAAGATAAAAATAATAAACCAAGTAAATACATATGAATAATCATTTGGAAAGGGAACCCAAAAATAAATACGTACTCGCGTCATTTTATTATGGCAAAACAATATAAATTGGTACATACGTGTAGGCCAACCGTATGCATGCCCATCTACACCCACCATACATCTGTTCCAATTGTGTTCCTTTGGCTCACCTCGCTTTTGTTGCTACTATGTTGTATCTTGTTACTGCTTGCAAATTCTTCATGGACTGTAACAATTGCCTCCATTCGTTTTCTCGTACCATGGTATCAAGCCATTTGAAGGTTTCACCACGTACGCAGGCAGTGTAACTCGCATCTACTCTCCACATGTCATGGACGACAAAACACACACTGGAGAAGCAAAGAAAGGAAAGTAAGCGTGGCACTCCCGCGCTGCGCTCCATGCGTGCGGAAAGAGAGAAAAGTCTAGGAATTACCAAATTTCTAGAAATAAACAAAAAAATGTCCGCACTGACATGGCATGTACGCGGAAACAATCGCTTGTAGATCAAGAGCAGCAAACAACACACACACGCAACCATCAATAAGAAAAAAAAAGCAGAAAAAAAACAGAAAAGCGCAGTACTGAAGTAAACAATAACAAAACACCGCAAACATAAACTGTCGGAAGGACAACTCAAAAAAAAAAACGAAAAAAAGAGGACACTCACTCTTCACGCATATATGGGCACTTCTGCAAAGAGATAAAAGCATCATTCCCCCTCTTTTTTTTTCTTTTTTCCGTTTTAGCTTCCTTCCACATTCCATGCTAATTTATATGACGCAAGGGAAGAGACGCATCCATAAAGGAAAGCTTCTCACTCCCAACGAGGCTCACAGAGCAAGAGCGTGACTCAGGACAGCCATCACAATACCAACCACGTCCCCCCCCACCCCCCCCCCGCAGCGTGTTCATTTTGCATGTCGCTGCACCCCGCCTGCTCCTGCAGTGAAGAACCAAATTGTGTTTCTTCCCTTCCTCAGCTTTGGACGGTGCCCTGAACAGGGTACATAACGGGGGTGCCGCTCCTCTCTCTCTTCCGCACTTTTCCTCCACACCACCCCCACCCCCTAACCACGTCGTTGCGTGGAAGCCAAACAGATATGCACAACACCTCCTCACCCCACCCGAAACCAGGCTAAAGCACACACACACACACAGCAACAAGCAACGGTGATGAAAAAATAAACACACCAAACCAAGGAGGAGAAAAACCTAACAACCCATTCATTCGAGACAAAAAACAAACAACAGGATGCACCGCAACCAAATAATTAGTGTCGCCAAAAACAAATCCACCGCTTAAAGCCTCATGGAAAAGCACAACCAAATAAAAAAAGATGGTAAAACACACACACACACACACACACACACAAGATTTAAACAATTGATAAAAGTAAAACAACAAAAAGAGGCACACGCCACATCCTAACTCGCACACACAAGTCACTGCCCTAACCCCACCCTAGATGAAATGGCACATCAAGGCATATTTACCGGGTTGTGCGTTCCCTCCCGCCCCCTCCACCCGTAACATTCGCCGTCGTGGAAGGGAAATAACTAAAAGGAAGCGTGCACACACACAAAAAAAAAGCACGAAATCACAACAACGGTCTTCCCTTCTCCCTTGGGCACGGTATTTGTTTAGGCAAGCCACCGCAATGCACACACCCCACGCACCCAACAGCTCCAACTATTATCATGACTTCTTCTTTTTGAATTTTTCCTTTGAAAGTTTCTCCTTACAGCATAAGAAAAAAAATAATAAATACAAACCAACAACCACTTTATTTGCGTATAATATTTGCTCAGCGACTCTCTTTTGCAACGGCGTATCCAAATTCAAGTGAAGCGTCTTACCTAATTTCCTTTGGAAAGCGTTGTTGCCGCTGTGCGAGTGTTCTGTCCTCCCATTTGTTATTCAAAAGCAAATTCTTTTTTTTTCTTTGTATTTTATTCCCACACACTTCACTATTGCTATGTACCTTATTTTTCCGTTTTGTATGTCGATTTTTCATCGTACGCCTTTCTTGTTTGTTTGTTTTTGTTTTTGTTTTGCGCCAGTAATATGTCGTCGCACCTTGTTTGAGCCCAGCACATAATCCCCTCCATTTTTTTGTTGCCAGCTAATGGCGGTGAAGAGCGATGCCCTCCTCCTCCCCCCACTTATGTCTGGGCAGCTCAGCTTTGCTTCGTCATTTCTTCCATGCTCTCCTTCACTTCATTCACAAACGAGGTGACGGCAGCCACGGCGCTGTGGCCAACGACGGGTACACGCTCCACGTTTTTCGGGATATTGGCTGCCGCCAGTAATTTTTCTGCCTTTTGCGTCGCCTGACAATTCTGGACATAGTCTCTGGCGTTCTTTACCCACGCAAAGTACAGTAACTCCTCAAAGATTGCCTTCACAAGAAGAAGTACCGCGGCGATTACCTTCGCGAATACAGCAACAATCATGTGGATGTCATATTTAGCAACCGCATTCTTCCCATCGTCATAAATGCTTCGTAAATGCGGCTTGCCCCTGTCCGCCGCGGTGCGGACCTTTGTGCGAAACATGTCGAGTTTCGTTATACAGGCCTCCTTTTGTTCACGGATGGCCTCACGGGTCTCACTGATACATTTTGTCGATGTGTTTACAACTTCTTTTGCTGAATCGACAAGGGGCTCAACGGAACTTTTCGCAGTTGTTGCGTACGCCCCCACCTGCTGGCGTCCATGAGCGACTTTGCTGTGAACCGCCTCAACGGCCGCATTATGGTAGGCCTCGGCTGACGACTTGGCGTTATGAAGAACCTGCTTGCCTGTTTCCATGCAGTGATCGGTGACCGACCGCACTCGCGCGGCGTAAGAGTTGCTGCTTCTGCCCTCACCGTTTTGGCAGTTGCCGTCATTCTGGCTTCCCCCACTGACGTACGACGCTGCTGCGCCAATCACACCACCAAGGCGCTGTTTTCCCTCGTCAGCAAGTTGCTGCGCCATTTCTTTTGTAGCATTAAAAGACTGATGTGTCTTCGTTGCGGCGTTGTTAAGCGTCTCACGACCGGCCTCGGTGTAGTCACGCACCTGCTGCGTGACGGTTTCCACCACTTCCCGCACCGGTTTTTCCACGGACGCCTTGGCACCGGAAACAGCGTTTTTGCCGGTTTCAAGGCATTTTTGGAGCTGCTCGCTAACAAGTACGTGAGCATTGGCCCTGCCTGCAGTCGTTTCACTCATCGCTGCGTTTATGTGTGATTGCCGGGGAAAATAATTCCTTCTCGTACAGTAATGATTCACACCCGTTGTTCTTTTGTCGTTTCTTTGTTTTTCCAACCTCCTTGTCGCCTTTTTTTTTTCTCTCCACTGGCAACCCACTGCGGTACCGCAAGGGTGCAGCAGCGAAGAGGAGGAAGAGGAAAAAAGAGACAACATGACATTCCAGAAAGGCAGCACACACGCCGTAGTGCATGGAGAAGCTGAACGCAAGAAACAAGACACCCACCCACCCACATGACTGCGCGAGTATTTAGGCGGGAGATAGAGAGAGTGAGAGAGTGTGTTGCTTAACCGGAAACATTGTTCTTTTTCTTTTTCCTCCCATCCATTTATTGCGCCCCTGCCCCCCTACCTCTTTTTTCTTTTTAATTAACGAAATTACTTCCAACACACACACACACACACAGGCACACAGAGAGAAAAGCAGAGAGACTCATCACTAAAGCTGGAGAAAGGAAAAGAAGAAATACGCCTCGCGTAGGTGACTTGTTGCTGGCGATTTCTCCTTTCATTCATGTCTTACGGCAGTTTTCCCATCTTTTTTTTTTAAAAAAAAGAAAAATCCTTCTCAGCCCCGCCTCACCTCGGCGGAGAAGAAGAGGCAACAAACAAACAAAAAAAGGTCACTCCATTGCCGCTGCTGTTGCCAGCTTCTGTTCCCGCCAACGTTGAAACGCCTTCTCGCGGTGCTCGTGCAAGCGGCGTTTGCGCTCCCGGTTCTTCGCTATGCGCTCCTGCTTGGCCATCATTATGCGCTTGCGTTTTTCCTCCTTTTCCTCCTTTGTCAGGGTCCGCGACCTCTCCTCACGGAGCACCTGTCGTTTCAGGCGATCATCAATCTTCATCGTCTCGCGGCGACGTCGTTTGAGGGCCCGCTCTGCGTCGGTCAAATCACCATTACGGTACGCCACAAGAGCCTTGACAACCTTTTCACGCACACGCTTTGCTCGCTTGTAAAAGGCAGCCTTCTCCTTTCGTCCCTGTTTCTCAAACTGTTGATAGAGCACCTTGACCGGAACGGGCGCCTTTGTCTCTTTAGCACGTGGTGTGAGACTGAGCAGTCGCTCCAGCGCAGCGAGGAGGCGAATGGACGCCGCGGACATTTGGAAGGAATCATCGTTGACAGCCTCCTCTACAACCGAGGCAAGCCATACGGTGTCGAGGTGCACGCGGCTGTTATACTTTGCCACCATCTTCAAGCAGTGGAGGTAGTCGTACAAGAGTGTGTACTTCATCTCGTACACGCCCCGAATGGTTGTGGACTGCAGGAATGACGCAATGGCGACGCCGGTAGCGGTTTTCAGCGACATGCCCAGGCCAGAAAGCCGTGGAAGCATCGCCTCAATCATCTGGCAGCAGCCCTTAAACACACGCACGCGCTGTGGTCCCGCAATACCCTCCACCTCACGGAATTTTTCGAACGCTGTGGGCAGCACTACCCAGCCAAAGCCGTGGCGATAGTGGTGCATGTCACGCTTGATGCCTGGTAAACGTTTTTTGTCGTCCCAGCCGCGGTCACAGAAGATAGATTTGTAAAACTCCACAAGTGTCACCCGGACGTCCTCACCGGCGTGATTTTTATAAGCAAGAAAGGCGACAAAGTGAAACACGCGTAGAGCCACATCCCTCAGCAACCCCATTCGGCGACGTATAACAACTGCGTGTTTGGCGGACTTACTCTCCTTGCGCACCAGCACGTGGTCTAACTTGCGACAGAAACTCTGAATGTCAGAAAGCAGCTGAAACAGCTCTTCTGCCACAAGAAACCGACCAAAGTATCGGTGCTTGGACATCATCAGCAGCTGAATGGAGGAGATAGCACTATTGAAGATGACATCGTCCGGTGACTTCACATTCTCGCGGCAGACGGCTAAAAGAACCTGAAAGATGTGCAAAATCAGCGGGGAACGCATCGACGCCCCAACACGCGCCGCAATTTGAATCGCACGCACGACATTACTTTTATCTTTATTCGATGCATCAACCGGGTAAACAAACTGTAAATCCACATTACCAATCATGCCTTTGAGGGCGTCAATATATTGTTGCGTGGGAGCCTCCTCTTCCTCTTCGTCGTCGTCATTTTCCTCTTCTGGTTCTTCCTCCATCGCTGCATCCTCGTCGGCGGTGGCCGCCGCTTCGCCGTTATCGTCTTCAGCCTCGTCGTCAGGTGCCGTGGTTTCCGTGCTTGTACTTTCCTCGGATTCACTTATGTCAGAGGTGCCATCCGAATCATCCTCCTCATCTTCGCCGTCCTCATCATCCTTATCATTATCATTACAAGTGTTGCTCTCGTTGTCGTTGTCGTCATCGTCGTCACTGTCGTCCTTATCTATCTCGCCTTTTGCCTTTGCCTGCCGCGCCTTCTCCCGATCGTCGGTGTGAAAGGCCTCACGAAGAGGAGCAAGCACCAAGTCAAGCGTCACACGCTCCCGTACGTAGCGGGCAAACTTGAGTAGGTATCCAGTGGCAATGCGACGGATGCATGTCAGCAGCGGTATCACGTGAATCGGTGCCGTTGACCGCATAACAAGTGCCATTAACACATCGAAAAAGAGGTCAATAGTCTCTAATGAGCCCGTAAGGAAAAAATGGCAAAGATCCGGCACAGTCGAGGTTGCCAATGCCTTGGCCTCTTCATTGGTGTGGTCATCCGTGCTCAGGACCAAAAACAACAGCACAAGCAATATGTGCATGTCGCGTTCCGCGTAAAATAGAACGCTACGCTTCGAAGTTTTTTCTAACGCCTCAACAATGCGATTTCGTGCCTTTCGAAAAATGCCATGGTTAAGCCCAGTAGTGTACCGCGTTTTTTCGCGCCGTTCCGCCTCAAGATAGGCGTGGATAATATTCAATGGACACAATGTGCACTTGGGTCGGGACAACGCCGCCGCATAGGTGAAAGAGAAAACCTCCGCAAAAAGAAAAACAGCACGATTCATGCTGCGTGTGTCACGGTGCGGCGGAGTTGGGTAAAAGCCAAACTCCAAAAGTGCCTCTGCAGCCTCATCAATGTACGTGCACGCCACACCGTCCCGAAGAGGAACGTAAAGACAGGACCGTAACTCACGCAACACCCAGGTGCGGTTTGCATAGGCGGACGGGTCCGAGTTAAGTATGGCACGGTACTGCCGGAGGAGGTCACGCACCTTCCTGTCAAGCATGTCTAGCGGTAGGCATCGAAGCTCTGAGATGTCAGTAGCCTTGGCGAGGGTGCGTTGACCATACCCAACCGTTTTGCTAGCCATCTGCAGCATTTCAGCTCGCTGTTCCGCATCGTCGTTTTGAACGGCCAGTTGGCCAAGGCGAGAGACAAGTTGCTGAAATAAAGCACGCCGTGGGGCGTCGGCGTTGCCACGGCGGTAAGGCGCAATGGCGTTATGCATCATCGTGCTCAAGTGTTCCTTCATTGACTCACCCGCGGCGCAGCGCTGTACCACAATCTCGAACCAGTCCGTCCACACTGGGTGCACCATCGGGTACACCATTGTGACCTGCTCCTTGCGAAATAAGGCGTTGGCAAGCTGCTCCACCGTGGAGGGCTCCAAGGGATCCATAGCGGCGTACCTTAGCACCACATCAGGAAGTCCTTTGGCCATGTTTTGGGGTTTTTCCTCCATCATCATAAGGCGCAGCAGCAGCTGAACCCCCTCTGGGCGGTAGTACTCCAGCTTAGGATATATAAAAAAGGCGTACGACAACCAATCCAGCACAGTTTTGTCTTCCCAGAGAGCTGGGAATGCCTCAAAGGTCTTGAAAAGAATATTAGCAGTTAACACCCGCAAGGCCTTCTGCTCAATGTATGCGAAACACAAATAATGGGCAAGATGGCGTGCATCTTCCAGCTGCAATTTATGGGTGTTAGCGACTAATACCGCGGCTGCAAAGACAGTGGCGATCAAACGTTGATTTCGTTCCCCCTTAGTAGGGTCATTGATTGCGTCAGGGTCAATGTCATCCAACTCCTCGTCTGCCGGCTGTTGCTGCGTCATCGTGTGTGTCTTGGCTGCACGCGCCTCAAGCCGAGTTTTCGCAGCCTTAAGACGAGCATCCAAGGTCAGTTCCTCACCAATGAGTGAGAGAATAACGGAAGGTGTCACGGTAGTTTCCCGCAATGCCAGAAATAAGGTGTGTGCATGCAGGAGAATCATGGCCATGTCTTCAGTAACCATTCCAAGTAATAAACGTGAAAGCGCGTATGGAATGGCATGATGAGCCGTTTCGCGTAAACTCTTCAAAGAGTGGCAGTCTGCATCGTCTGCTAATTTTGTTTTTAAATGATTTACAAACGCATGTTGTCCTTCTCTGCGACGTGATGAATTGTGTCTTAAACACATTTGTAACAAGGCTCGAATGTGTTCTCGTTCTTTTACAGTTTTAGATAAAGCAGCACGTGTCTGACTAAATTTGCCGTGTTTTTTCTCATTATTGGCATCCTGCTCCTCCTGGGCTTCCCTCTCATCAATCTCGTCATCCCCCGCTGCGGGGGCCTCTTGTCTCCCAAATTCGTGCTTCTTCGAGGAATGACCGTGGCTTTTGCCCTTGTTTAGCTCGTAGGAAGCCCACTCGTACCACATGATGAAGGCATGCACAATGCTTGGGGCCCCGCGTTCAAACTTGCTCATGTATGAACGGAGGGATCTCACATCGTCTGGCAGGTGCTGCTGCACAAAGGGTGGTGGGATAAACTTGAAGACCTGGCCGAGGTCTTGTCCAAAGAGATCCGTTGCATTTAACCTGCACTTGAACTTTGACAAGTCCACGCGTAACTCTGCTGACACTTTGGCTGCCAGATGGATGTCGATGTTGTTCGTGCGCGCCGACCGTGGCTGCCTCTGTCCAGCGCTGCTCCCTGCCTGATGGCTAGTGGACGGCTTGCCCTGGGCCCCGCCGCGTTTCCGCTGCATCATTTGTTCACGGGCATATTTCTGCTTGTGGTAAGTTGCCTTCTCCTTCTTGATGCTGCCCGATTTCCCCCGCTTCCCTGCGGGGGCACTCGCGCGCCGGGCGGAGGGTGGCATGTCTTCCCTCTTATGGGCTGTTTATTAACTGTATGGTTCGCTTGGTCCCCTGCGAGGAGGGTGAGGGAGGGTAGAAGATAAAGCGTGAGGCGGGAGAACACGCAAGGCATAACGCGACGGGCACGACAAGGCCGTCAAAGAAAATGCTGCAGCAAACAAAAGACACGCGTGGTCAGCCCGTCACCAAATGCAACGCCTTGTAACCGGGGGAGCGAAACGGTAATCCCCTCAACAGGGCATCGAGGTATTTGTGTCCGCAGCTATGGTCGTCCCGCAAAGAGGTGCACACGACGCGGAACCACACTCAAGCAAAAAGTCAAAGTTGACATGAGGGGAAAAAAAAATCAAAAAAACAAAAGAAAGCCACACACACATACACAGAGAGCGAGGAAAAAGTGAAGCAAAACAAGACCGTGGGCCCACCACAGTTACTCGCGTTGTGACAACAATCCAACATTTTAGTACGTCTACCACTAGTAAACAATGGCCACTCCATTCAGGCTGGTTCTGGGCCATATTGTTCTACAAGAGTGGCCAATAGAGTGTTCTCACACCTGTTAAGTTCCATCAACGTCGCCTCTATGGCGAACATGGCAGAGAAATTGTAATGCATGGTCATACGTTTGATGCGCTGTTGCAGAGCTGCAGTCACGGTGTGATTCCTCCTGGACGGGTTCAAAGCCATCTTTTTTTTTTTTGGATCCAACAATTTACTGTAGAGGAGGATAACTTCATGCAGAGGCAACTTCACACTTTGCCCTGATAAACATGTATTTTGGTGGACAAGTAAAATAGTAATAATAATAATACTTCCACGAAACTCTTCCTCTCAAGCCACCACCAGCGGGAGAATGCCTTGCCACTCCAAGTCCGTTAGCTCCCGCACCTACATCTGCTCCCCAATTCCCTTGCATTGCTCTTCAGTAAATAAGCCTGTCTTTTCGTGAAAAGACAACGTGGGTCTACCTTAGCAAGCCGTTCTATCGTTGCTTCTCCATGTTGCAGGTGAGCGTCGAATCTCGTCGATGCATTGAGCTCCACAAGCGGAGAGTTTCAACGGAAAGGCCGTCATCCTCGATCAACAGCAGTGCCATTTGAGTACGTCAATAACGTCATTTGAGCGACTTGTTAGGTTCAGGTATCGAAGTAGTCTACACGCATCACACCACTGCAGCTCCAAAATCGCCACGCTTCGTCCCTTTTGATCCTCAATGGGTGTGGAGCACTCGGGGCACGTATGCATGTCCTTCCCACACTGCATACAATAGATATGCCGGCAAGGGAATCGCTCGCGCGGGCGCACCCACCGGTACAGATGCACACCACACTTGCCAAAGTCTTAATCGGGACTTTTAAAAACAAATGCGGACGACAGATGCCTTGTTGAGCATCGAGGCAGCCATCCCTCCTGCAGACCAAAGCACTAGAGGAAGAAGGGGGAAAACAGGGCCCAATACCACAGCCACCCACAAGCACGCAAGGCCTCATTGCCCTGCAAAGTAAAAAGGCAATAAAAAAAAACGCGTAGAGTAAACCATCCAAAAGAAAGAAAAGTAACAAAAACAAGGTGCGCAAGATGTAAGAATAATAATAATAACAATTATTATTATTATAAACGGCATTTGTCCCGTAGCGTCGCAAAAACTCAGATTAACACCCACCGAGAACCCCGTTTCTCCGCATACGCAGCTTAAAAAAAAAAAAAAAAAAAAAATCATTGTGTCTGAAGAGAAAAGAAAAAGAAGACATGTCCTCTGACTTACGGGAAAATCTGTAAATAAAAATAAATTAAAGAGAAGGTAAAGTAAACAAACCAAAAAAAAACGAGAAAGAAAGAAACTAATAATAATATACCTTTACTCTGTCAAGGGGATAGGATCAGCTCACACGATTGCGACTGCGCCTCAACCATGTGATCCAAGGCCTGAGTGCCGTTGGCACTTTCTGCCTTTACCAACCCGTCCTCTTTGGTCTGTGTTGTTGCCGCTGCGTCCACAGCTGCACCCACGCCCGTGGAATCTGTTGAATCCCGCAGATTCTCCTCAAGGCGAGGGCGTTTAGTAGCAGCACCGTCAAGCTCTTCATTGTCTGCGGCAGCACCGCCACGTCTCCTGCTGTTCTCACACTGCGGTGTTTGCGACTTGCTTTCTTCCTCTCCGGCGGCCTCTGTTTCCTTGTCCATGGCGCTCACAGTACCCTCAACTGCGTTCGAGCATTCCGTCAAAAGCGATTTCGCGGTTTCTGTCGTCTTCGCAGAGTCATCCGTCGCCGCGGGTACACCGACATCCTTCTCGCTGGCTTCCGGGGAGTCAGGGCGTACAACGCCGAACGTGGGTAGTTGCTGGACCTCGGACGGGACCGCCTCGGCACTGTGGATTGGCGTCGCCTGGTTTTCGTTGAGCAGCTGCTGGGACATTGTAGAGTGAGAATGGGTCAGCGAATCTAACCGGCGCCAGTTCGGCGTTCATGGCGGCAATGCAGCAGAAGAGCAGGAAGAAAATAAATAAAAAGAGAACACAGTAAAACAAGAAAGCGGCGCAAGTGGAAACAACAAACAGGAAAAAACAAAAATAAATAGGTGCGCACTCTACTCGGTTTTTCGTCACTGCCCAACAAGCAAAAAGCCAGCGGAGGTGAGGACAGGGCGAGACCCTCTGCAAACGTGTATGTGGTGGCGCACCAAAGCGCAAGAGAGAACACGAGAGTAAAGTTTGTCCTCATCTCCCCCCTCCCCACCCGCCCCCCAACAAGAAAAAAGCGTGCACACACACACACACACACACATGTAGATACACATTAAGCGGTAAAAAATGACAATGAGAGCTGGTAACTGAGGGCAGCAAGCACATCCGCCTCGGTAACCATACCATGCGAACTTGTTTTACACGCAACTGTAGGCCGAAACTCAGAGATAGAGCGACAGCACATCTCCGAGAATTTCACCACCGTCGCGGAAGGGATGTACTCCATCATCAGGAGAAAGCGGGTAAAAGCTGTTGCATACGCAGAGGATTGGGATAACTCTCCACCCAAAGCTGAAGCGAAGGCGGTGGCAGAGGGGAGGGAAAGGGGAGCGGCACTGCAGCCTCCCGGGTAATCCATTTTGGTATATTCCATCGCCTCCTCAAAAAGGACTGCCTCACGCAGAGCCAAAAGAAGAAATCGCATGGAAGCCGCAACAAGCCGCTCACGAATTGTGGAGGAAAAGTTAGACATGCGATGGGTCCTTGTTTCCAGCGCACGTTGTTTGGAAAGGAGCCGCAAAACCGCTGAGTCATCTCCCTCACACAAGAAATCACCATCGTCGAGCTGCAGCCACTCTCTACTACCCGACGGACTACAAGCAAAAAATGCCGTGCTGTACTCAGCAGCAGAACCCAACACAACACCGAACGCCATCTGTGCTTGAGACTCAAAGTCCGCCATACGTAAATGCGAGACTGCTAGCATCCAGTAGCGACGATGCTTTGGCAGTGCGCCATCGCCGGGGCCCATCCCGCATGTCAACTGCACCCTTACCGTATACAGTGAAACGACGTCCTCGACTGCCTTTACCGCCTCCGCAGTGAGTACACATGAAAATACATTTCCTCCTGGTTTCAGTGGCGAGCCGGTACAAGAAGAGGCAAGAAGAGATGTGGGCACCTGACTCTTCGCAAACGCCCCACGGAGTGTCTGTGAAACTGATTCAAAAAAAAGGTACAACGATGGGGCCTCTTCTACCAGACAGCCAAAGGCACAAAGACAAAAAAACACCTCCTCAAAGGCCAAAACAATGGATTGAGCAAATGATGCACTTCGCCTTGAGGTGGCAATATCTTCATGAACGCCCAGAGGCCCATTTTGGGCACCCACGCCTTCCATGGATCCCGAAGACCCAAAGCATCTCACCATGGACGCAAAGTTTAATGCTTCGCATACTGAGGGAGGTCGCACCAAAGCGAGAAATGCCGTGTCCTCACCTGCGTGTCGCTCAAAGGTGTAGGAAGCCAAATCAAAAAATGCCAACTGGAGATGTGGCAAACTCGACTCGTGGGGAAGTTGCGCACATCGCGAATGATCCAAATAAAAAAATACATGCTCTGATGCCGCTTCTAGTAATCGTGACAACTCGACGGATAAGCCATCGGCAACACTGGAGGCACCAAGTGGACGCTGTGCCGCAAAAAAAAAGCGCACAACACTCAGCTGTGAGAGCACGCGTTGCAGCTGTAAAAGTGACTTTGTCCCGTCAAAGATAACAGGAACGTGACAGATAAGATCGTGGAGAACCACACAGATTTCAGCGAGTATTGTCAGGTCGTTCCGATTGCTTGTCTCCCAATGCCTCATGGAGAAGGGAATAGTGAGGTCAAAGAATGAAATGCCATCAACGTTGCCCCAGCGTTGCAGGGCCTCGGCAAGCCCCGGGAGGGACCGCATCCAGCGTTTCAGCAACAAAGCATAAAGGGAAAGAACAACACTCATAAATTTTTGGGCAAATGAGGCGTCAAGGGTATCTTGTGAGTTCATTGAAAGAAACGCCCGCGTCAGCCAGGGCGGTGTCATCTGTGTGGTGCTGTTCAATGCGGAGGTGGGCGACAGCGTCACCACACCACTCGTTGTCGCCTCCGCCATCAGCCAAATCCAAGCATCAGCAGGTTGTAAAAAGAGGGTTGTATGTGGGACCGCATGCAGCTCAGGAAGCCCCAACGTGTCCTCGGAAGACGCTGCCGTCTCCAATTGCCAGAGTTGATGCTCCGCATTGTACACAATGAGGGAGAAGTGGGAAGTCAACACGGTGTTCAGTTCGTCTTGCAGCTTGGCGTGCATCCCCATCAAGTGCGCAATTTCGCCACTTGAAAGAGACAGAGCTGCATCGCCAGTGGACTGCTGCTCTTGTTTGGGCTGCCGCCGCAGATCAGACCCCACTAGGCGAAGCAGAGTGATGGCGCAAAACACTAAATTTATCAACGTTGTTGAGAGACTGTGTTCGCCTTCGCCGAAATTTGGACTCGCGTGAAGGCGCTGCAGAAATATAAACACAGAATCCACTGCAGCGGGGACTAACGAGCGCAGCACAGTGATTTGCCCCCTGACAGGAAGTCGGGTACTGCCGCAGCGTCCGTGGCGCGCGTGCGTCACCGCCTGCACCACCACCACGGCGCACTGCTGCACTGCCTCAAGCGACTGACGCCCCATGGCTGACAGTAAACAGCGGAGGCCGTGGGCGACAACCTCCGCCACCATGGAAGTGTCCTGTGCCGCATGCATTCAAAACTAGTTACCCCAACTCTGAAGTGACGATAGAAAAATACAAGCACACTCACACAAAACCGCGTTACTTTTCCGTCTTTGTTGTTGTTGTTTTTTTATTTGTAAAACTATTACTTCCCTCCTTCGCACACTTCTGTCAAAATTGATCGAAGATAAAAAAAATCAAGCAACATAAAACTGAATAACAAAATTAAAGAAGTGTAAGTAATGAAAACAACAAAAAAAAACGTGCGCACACGCACCACTTCATTATGAAATCCTCCCGTCCCCTTCACAACTTCAGGCACACGCATGCGCCTCAGTTGAATGTTGCATTTCAGCGTTTGGTAACGGCAGAGCGTGCAAATACCCACAAGCAAGCAAAAAAAAAAGCTTCTCAACTCCCATACTTGCTGTTTTTTTTTTTGGCCCAATGCCTCCGAAACAGATTTAATTACTGCCAGCAGCCGGTGCGCCTCCCAGCTTGGGGAAAAAAAAGATGCAGCACCATAACTTCTTCCTGCCTTACACCCAACACCTCCGCTGCTGCAGATACGACGGCAGCGGCAAGTGTCGTGTTGTCGTTTCGGGTCGATGATTGCGGGAACGTTTAAAGTGCGAGGTTTGACGTTGCAGCCCCCCTCCCCCACGAGTTCGTCCCTCCTTGTGGAGGCCATCACCGAGAGAAAGCACTTCTGTGTCTATAAGTCTATGCGTCATGCATCTACCTCTCTTTGTGTGGGCGGGCCAAAACAATTCCCTTGTGCATGTCCCCGTGCTCCTGCTCCCCCCCTATGTAGATGAGCGGAGCTTCAACGGTCATGGCGGAAGAAAAGATAAAAGAACAAGAAAAAAAAAACTTTTTTTTTTTTTTTTTAGTATAAATGCGTGGACCGTGTTCGCACGCAGCAACAAAAAGGAGGTAGATGTTCATCAGCACACAACGTGTGTGCTGCCCCCCTCCTGTTTCTTTTCTCCGTTCCTTTTCCTCTGTTGCGTTCATCCCCTCTTTGTATTAACTTGCCGTTGGGAGTGTGCATATATTCCAGATCAAAAACAAACAAACAAACAAACAAACACGTAAACAGTAATGACACAACAAGAACGCATCCCACCAAAGCACGCGCGTTCACGAACGCTGTTGCAAACAAGCACGCATATGGGCATGTGGGCTCACTGTACATGCTCAGTTTTTTTTTTTGCTTTTTGTATTCTGCGCATCTCAGCTTGTTCACTGGTCCTTGGACTCCTCACCCTGCAGCCACCGCCGCTTCACTCTTAGAAGAGACAATGCTGCCCCAGGAAGTACAAGGCAATGACATGGCAACAGCGCACAAATGTTCTCCCTGTTCGGTGTTGTATTGTTGTTGTTTTTTTTTCGTTCCTCCTCCATATTTTCCCCCTTTTTTTTGTTTGTAATGCGTATCTATCCCTCGTTGCGGCCCTTTTATTGTTGCCTTCTCTCAGTGTTGTGTTTCCTCTAGGTTTTGTTTCTGCATTGGGTATTTCATGTCCACTGCCCTGAAGCCCCCGCGCCCCCGCCTTCTCGGCGCAGCACCACCCCAACAGCGCAGTAATGCAGGAGGAAGCGGCGGCGCTGCGACACCCCGGCGTAGGGGCGCCGGGAGAGACGGCCACAGCAGCGAACAAAACGGGTGAATTACCAACCGCAGCAGCATGCCCGGCATTTCCGTTCACCCACACGCACATCACCCAGCAGCATAATTCCACCTTGTACACTTTTTTTCTTTTTTCTTTTTCTTTGCCTTCTGTCGTTTGGCATATTTATTGCAGCAATGCAGCAGCAAATCTCGCAACTTTTTTTCCCTCTCTCTCTCGCTGCCTCCCCTGTAGAATACGCAACCATATTCAGAGCTACTTCTTCTTCTTCTTTGACGGAGACAAGGAAGAGTTGCGCTGCAGCAACGCCTCCTTGTATTTGTAGTGCTCACTGCTGATGTAATCCGGGTCATATCCCTCACCCTTGGTGCCTACCTCCACCCGCCGCCCGGACGAGCCCCCAGCACGCTTAGCCCTCAGAAACGCCACGAAGCCCAGCTTCAAGGCCAGAAAATACGCCGCACCACCGAACAGGCAAAGTAACGTCAAATATGTCAGAATAGTCCGCGGATCCGTCTCAAGCGACTCATCTACGGACACGGTGTCGTTGAAGACAGTGACAAAGTACGTGTTGTTGGTGACGTTGTCGTGGAAGTAAAGGCCAAGAATAAGGTTGTAGTCGGTTGGCTCGAGCAGCGGGTCGGGGGTAAAGCTGTACTGAAAGCTTGTAGTGTCGCCAGGCTGCACGATGCGTGCGTGGCGAACAACAGAAAAGTTCTGAATCACCTGGTTGTAGGCTTTCACGGAGGTAAGGTACCCGACGATGAGCACAACGGTGTGCTGGTGCTCTGGCTGACTGTTGCGGTACGCGACAAGAGCGTTCGCCTTCGACCCTGCAGGCAGCGTTGGCAGCAGCTGCATAGGCTTATCAGGGAAAATGACACGTGCGGAGGCCAGCGGGTAGCTCCCAGCATCGTTTCCCGCGCTCTTCTCATCATCGTCGTCGTCATCGGTATCGGCACGATTCGTGGATGCGACGTCGTTGAGCCCAGCTTCTGCCTCTGCTGCTTGGCCCTCCTCCGCCGCACACACGGCCGGGGTCGCAATTAGGCAGAGAACCACAAACACAAGGAGAAATGGCAAAAGCAACGCAGGACGTAACGAGCGCATCTTCCTCCTCACACTTTTTGCAATCAACCTGCTCTCTCAACAGCGTCAGGATTGAGCTTAGCAGGTAAATACAAGAACAACAGAAGTACCTAAAACGTCAACAACACCAAGCAAAGACAACAACAAGAAGAGATGCATAAATGAAGCAAAGCAAGCTGAACACCATTCATATTTTGTATATATATATATACTCTGGTCCACACGTATTTATTTGGCACACAGCCATACACATAAAAAAAGTTAGTTGGGGCTTTCGTACAAGAGCAGGCATGTGTATCGGCGAAGTGCAGGTAAACACACCGTAAACGTGCGTGTACGTACGCGCTGCCGTGAATGATCAGAGGCTCTTGTTGGTTGATTAATTCTGAATGCACGCACAGTGCGGTGGCGCCTTTTCTCTGTTCCTTCCACCTGTTCCCTCTTCGTTTTAATTTTCGGCACCGCCGAGTGTGCCTTGGTCTTCCGTCACCTAGATTCTCAGCTTCCCGCCGCTACTCTGGCCCCTGTCGATGGCGTTGCCAACGATGTCATGTGTGCGCAGGTAGCGCCAGGCGCAGCGGTCCACGCAGTGCACCTCTTGCATGGAAAGCTCATTTTTCGTCAGATCTTTGCAGCAGAGGTTGAAGCATTCTGTCTGCAGGCGATTCATGAGCACCTCAAGGCGAAATGACTCCTTCTTCACTTCCAGCTGCATGACGCGATCACGCCCTCACGCCTCTACTAGTGTACACTAATAACTCAGACACAATAGAAGAAACAGTAAATGCGTATATATCATTCCACCATCCATGCCAATAGAAGGCAAAAAAAAAACAACACACACACACTTGCAGCCGTCTTACTTCACCCTACATATATATATCATCACATGCTGCGACGTGGGATGTGTGTGAGAGACGATGATGTTGAGTCTAAAGAAACAATCGCGTTTCTTCTAAAACATACACCGCCCCCCCCCCCCCCAAAAAAAAAAACGTTCCAGCACGCCATGTAATTCCAACAACATAGCCGCCACCCACATAAAGAGAGATGCTTGCTTGTGAAGAAGAAAACGCAACAGCAGGAACCCATATTCATTACTTCAGAAAAACCACTCTCGCATTTTCACTCCTCTGCACATCCATTCTTATCCTTTGCGTTTGCTTTCCTCTGATTCATATTCCCCTCTCCCCGCACCCATCACGCGGAGTTTGTCCTTCCCCCTCATCCTCCCACCTCCCAGTTCCTGTGATCAGTTAATAAAAGCGCAGCTTCCTTTTTAGTTGTTGTTGTTTACTTCTTCTTGCTTCGTGTATTCATCCACATGCACACATTATTATTCCCCTTCTACGCTTCACCTCCATGTCTCCTCCCAGCCTCCCGTGGCCCCCTCTCGATAGTGCGAGATACCTGCAGCGTGTCGCTAACAACAGGCGCATGCCTTCAGTGTGCCCTGGAGCGGGTGTCTATGACCGTGCAGTGGTAGGCGCGAGGTATCGCAGGCCGCAGCGCCACCCCCACGGCTTTCCACCCCCCACCCCACGCCCACTATCAGACGCATGCAGCTGCCGCAAGAACGACAAGAACAGCCAATGCATTCAAATCAAAAAGAAATAGTGTTGATTGATGTAAATAGTATCAAGCAATAATGCCATGCATAAAGACGCACACACACACGAACAAAAAACAACAACAAAAAATGTTTCTTTTTCCTTTGCATTTATGTTTCGTTTCTTAAAACACCTCAGCAAACAAAATCATAATTGCAATGAGTGGAGGTCTGAACAGATATGCGTGTGAGAGAGTGAGAAAGAGTGGCAGACAGACTAAAGGAAACACATACGTGTAGTTCTCCATCACTATCGCCACCTTGCTCAGGCATCACGCCATCTGTACTTCCTCAAGTCCTCGGCGCACCGGACCCGGCGAAGAAGGCAGAGATAAGACCATGGCCCCAAATACTCTTTCACATATTGTAACACACGTTGAACCATTCTGCAGTTTCATGAACTCAGCGAGCAACGACATACTGAGGCTCCGCGCCAGCAGTGTAGTAACTGTGTGCGTCAGAGCACCCTCAAGCAGGTCCTCCGTCGGCAGGGGAGAACCCGACGACGCAGAGGGACCGAGCAGTGCTCCGACTGCCAACGGCGATGTTGCTAGACCGCGCGCCGTGCAGGAGATCGCCGTGGGGCGAATGTACCCTGTCAGAAGCGGACTGCGACATGCGTTCAAATGCCGCTGTGTGAGAGTACGGCCCATGAAGAAGACACTCCGACGCATTGCCTTCCCAATCTCCCTGTATTTCTCTTTCCCCTTTTCCTCCTCTTTTGCCCTCCGTTCGGTGCCTTGAGCACGCGCCTCCAAAAACAGCGACAGAGGTAACGGCGCATAAAAATAAAATAATAATAAAAAAGAAACAAGTAGCAAAAATAAAGCAGTTCGAGGTCACACGGAGAAGCAACTACGAATAAGGCAACCTATGCCACTGTAAAGACGTATAAATATGTATATATACACGCAACGGAAACTAAGCATGTGAATGAGAGAGGGAGGGGGCAAGTTTATTTCCAGGCACAACAAGAACAACACCACGGGCAAAAAAAAAAGACACTTGCGGCATTTAATGTTGTTGTTTTTATTTCGCTCTCTTTTTCTCTTTTTCTCTTCTTCTCATTCAATCCTCAACAGGTAACTGTTCTCTGCATGTGTGGGGCATTGTGTCGGTGGCGATGTACGATATGATGGCACTTCCCTGCTCCCTCACCTCGCTACGCACATCGAACCACATGGGCAACTGACGGGCGATGTTCTCCAGAGATCCGTAGCGTCGTACCATCATGCGTGCCTCTTTCGACAGATTATTTATAATAGACGCCTCCTGAGCTCCGCCGACGGAGAAGAGTGCCATCTGTCGCAGAAGATCGCTTAGGGAGCGGCACGGCGGCTGCAGCAGGTGCGCCGGCGGCGGAGTGCCGTCACGCCTGCCCAGAATAAGTGAGGTGGTTCCAATCACCTCGTAAACACGGAAGCATTCCTTGTGCCGCTCAAAAAAGTCTTGTCGCATCTGGCGCGCCTCAAACGGCAGTTCACGTACCGAGTGATGCGTCTGAAACCGGTTCCAATCCACCGGATGGCCCAACGGCAGCAACTCCATCAGCATTTTAGCTTTGAGGGCCTCTGTCAAGTGACGCCCCGACGACGCATTGCGTGCAGACGAGGGAACTCGGGCCCCCTGAGACACGGCTGCGAGGTAGGGAGTCCAAATGAGACCGCCCTTGACAAATAAATAGAGCGAGTGGTGGGCAGCAAAGTCCAACACAGAGGCATAAGCACATTGCAGCTGCCTCCGCGAAGCCGAAGGTAACGCATTGGAAAACTCTTCAGGGGAGAGTGGCTTTTTCTCAAGAGCCATAAGACTGTGACGCAGCACCACAGGGATCGGTGTGGTTTGCCAAGTCAGACTGGATGGCTGCGCGTGTGCGGCGAGGACCTCCCACGGTCGAACCATGTACGCCGTCATATTAACATCAAACAAATGACGAAGACGATCAAAAACAAAGATGCAGGCTGCATCTTTCTGCGTTGAGTTGTACAGGTGCAGGCGCTTCAAGACTTCCGATGGGATAATATCTTTAAGGTCCGCCATGGTAACACCTGAGCGTAGGCGCTGCAGATGATCCGGGGCCTGAGCTGCGAAGGCGCGGAAGGCCTCAATAAGGGCTGCTCCCAGCGGCAGCACCTCATAGTTCGAGGAAAGTCTTGTTTCATCATTCACGTAGGGTCTACACTCAGCATCCATCATGCGCAGAAAAATGTCGTTCGCGTCGTCTCCAATGACGCGGCAATCCAGGATGGTCGCTGGAACACGTCGCAACTCCTCCAAAATATCTTCCACCTGCATGCCCGGTGAAAAACACATGTAACTTCTTGAATGACGCATGACAAAACTGAGCGGCACATAATAAGAAAAAGGTACGGCTCCTTGCAAAAGCGCCATAAGTTTATTCATCTTAGCATCCTCCGTCACCGTGTTGGATGACAGCGGTGGTTCAGGTACCGGTTGTTGCATATTCATCGCCCGCACCGGCGAAGGTAGCGACGGGGGTTGTGGTGGCGTAGCCAAAATGCCCTTTTGTTGCATAAACGACGTCGGTGCCGCCTTCACGACGCCGTTCTGCACCGTCACTAAGGATGGGTGTTGCAGCAGAAAGGACTCCAGGTACCGCTCATTGCCGCAACGGCGCTGCTCCAACGCCGGAAGCGCGCAAAATAGTTGCGACACAGTCATCTGCTGCTGCGGGGAAGCCGCCAGGTGGGCGAGAACCTGAGCAACAATGGGCAAACCGGGGCCAACGCCCCGCAACTCAGTTGCCAGCATGGCAACTGTGACACCGGAGGGCAACACTTCAACGCGGAACCGTGACGGACGCTCTTGCAGATAACGACGTAACCCACCAGAGACGTTTGACAAAATGTTAAGCAACTCGTCGCTGAGCAGTGCAGTGATGCGGGGGAGTGGCATGGCCCCGTAGCGTCGCAGCATGCAACGTGTGTGATCACTCAAAGTTTCGTCGTCTTGCGACGTCAAGTGCCAACGCGTGGCACACTGCAACGCACCACACGCCGTCACTCGCACATGTGAGAAAAAACTACGCATTTCGATTTCACCCACCCCAACACCGAATAAAAAATATACGGTTTTTTTCTTTATTTCTGTCTTTTAGTTTGGTATTTGTTCTCTTTCTGGGGTAAAACTTCTCTGCTGTAGCCCCAGCCACACGCGCGTGCGTGCGTGTCCCTTTCCAGCCACCGCCGCGTAGAGGACCAGAGCCCTATCGGCACGAACGGTAGCGTGTTAGCGCAGAGCAAAGGGGTGTAGGGGCGTGAGGGGCAGTGAGCGTGCACACCAGCAACGGTGGCCAAGGTGCAGAATGTGGAAAAGAGGTTCGGCCCCGGCTTTGGGGCATGCAGAACATCATCAACGACATAAGAAGAAAGGGGAGAGGTCACCACGGAAAAAGCAAAAGAAAAGCAACAACAACAAAACAAAAGCAAACAAATAAAGGAGTGCCGTAGTAACAGTTCAACGTAGATAAAGTAGTAAACAGCAGATAAAGACAGTTTTTATTTTTGTATTTTTTTTCCTTTGTTTTAGCCTGTTCGCTAACCACCGTCCTACATTCTATACCACGGTCCCTGCTTGTGTAGCCTCCACTCACTCTCGCTGCCTCCATTGACCCAAAACCCTTCAAAGGGCGTCCTGCAGAAAATGAAACAGACTCTGCCCAACGGCCATGCCAAGGCCAACACGCAACGAGCCCCATCCAACGTTCAAACGACTGTTTACCCAACGCCATGTGGCAACTGGATAACGCCTCCGTCGTTGAGCATGCGCCAACACTCTTCCCCGGAGGTGTTGCACCACCCCCAGCAGCCGATTACGTGGGTGTGGGCTGCTGCCGCTGCTATGTGCGGAAGACTCCTTCTCCATCGACTCGGCAACGATGGTCTTGGCCCCTGTGAAGCTCTCACCACGGAAGAAAACAAACCGCGCCTGGTAAAAAAACGAGTGAAGAAGTGATGTGCAGCGCATCGGCTCGGAACCAGAGGGAGCCCCGTATATCACAGTACGTGCATAGTTAAGCGGTGAACTAACAACGGAGGCTAGGAGTGCGGCGATAAGGTTCGAGATAAACGCGCATGCCCCGCACTTCTGCTTCCACAGTGCCACATTCCCGCTACCAATATCCGCGGTATTATTATTGTTATTATTATTATTATTATTGGTACGGGTATCCAACGGGGCTGACTCTGACGACACTGCAAGACGACAGCGAGATGACGCTACAAGTCCCCAAAGAAAATTTGGCTCATTCTCTGCCAAGAGAACATATGGGTAAAAAACATCCTTTATGATAGTAGAACGCCGAATCGACTCGTATACAATACCAAAAACACAGTCACGCAAAGCAGTAGCGCCAATTCCACGAAAAAAAATACGCATCCCATTCTCTTTGTATACATCCATGGCTACCGCCAGAAACGACGCATTCCCCTCTGCATTCCACATGCGATACTTTACAACCTGCATTCCATTTAAAACTGCACCGTTCACGGAACCGGCCGTCGCGCCAATTAAAAAGGCGTTAAGCCTCGGGGATTGTGAAGCATGAAAGCACTCCGGCGCCTTGTTGTCAATAAAGATTCGGACAGAGTCTTGCCAGAACATGTACGAGGCACCTACAAGCGTGCGGTAAATGGCAGCGTTCATGAAGCCCTGAAAGGGCTGCTCAAAGTTACGTCGGTCCAAAAAGTGCTGGCGGCGAAACTTCACCCGCAAGTAGAGAGCCCTATCGAAGGGATTAAATAAAATTGCCTGCGCTGCGCCAGAGAAAAGCGCTGGAAATGCCGTGTGGAAAAAACTCTCCTTCGCTTGTTCATTGCGCCCACTCATGGGATCAACTGCCTGTTGTATCCAAGCTTCAAAAAATGCAAGGGCTTCTTAAAAGAACCCCCTCCCTTCTGGTTTCGTTGTTATTGACGCTGCTGCCTCTCTGTCCTCTTTTCTCTTCTTTTTATTTTTTGTTTTTTAAAAAAAAATAATTATCCTTCAATTGCGTCTTGCCTGTTTTTGCCCTCGTTGCTCCTTTGCGTCCGCCCCACCCCCTCCCCCCCTCCTCCCTCCTTCAGAGTCGCAGTGCTGGGTATCGACCAAAACCCCGGCACAACTTCCCACAGAGCAGCAGTAATACACCGACGAAAAACGCAAACCAGAAAAGAAAAGAAAAAGTAGACAACAGGAAGAACCTTAATATTTACCCCCAGCGTCAAGGAAATCACCTGTGTGTACACAAAAATAGAGAAAAAGACGTGTGGAATGCACCGAATGCACCGCTTGCATTTTGTATAAATGTATAAATGTATGTATCCATTTGCATATGCAAAGGTGTAGACGCACGTTAGGCGTGAGTTCTTCAACCCCCTCGAGGCTGGCCTCCTTTTTTATATATATATTATTTTTTTGCTTCTGTGCTTGTTTCCTTGGCCGCTTTAGAAATCAATCCAAACGTGATGCAAGACACGGGAAGAATAAGACCATAAACAAACAGAACACAAGAGGTAAATACCTTCTAGGCGCGCTAACCTCTCCCTCCTGCATCCGTCATGCCCCTCAACGTAAAACATTCCTACCCTCCCTTTTCACCTTGCCTTCCGCCGTGTTCCCCTATAAATGTTTTGGTGAATGAATATATAGGTGAGCACATCCACGTTTGTAGTGAGGCCTCCAAATTCGATCCAAGGTGCTGCCGCATTTGTTCCCCCCTTCCTTCCTTCCCTCCTATTCTACGCTCACATCAAATCATCGACACAAAATAGGGAATTGAATACCACACCAGGGCCCAGCACCCTAAATAAGCGTGCCTGCCCCTTCAAAGCTTTTTGTAGTTGTGCTACGCCGTCTATTAGCGTCAGTAGCGAGTTTCCTCCCGCTTCAACTCCTTTTTTTTTGTTCTTTTTTTAAAATATTTTCCTTGGTAAATTCTCATACTTCTTTTTGCCACTTCGGTCGATTAAAAACAAAAAAAATCTCACCAATGTTATTAAAATCCGCCACGACGTGGCTGTTGAAACCGGCCATTGGCATTCTTGACGCCCCTGTTTCTGGCACCGTCCTTGTTATATCCGTGGCCTTGGCCACGGGGCCTTTTCCTTGCGTGTTCATCTGTACCAGGGAGAGGCGGCAGCACACCCAACTGTCCGGCGCTGGCCCCAGCCGTAGCTGATGTGGTTTTTACTGTTGCCTCCGTTTCACGTCTGCGCTTGAGAGCTGGCAACTTGTTCTTGTGCAACCAACTCTCTGTGAAGGTGCCCATCGGCATGTGTTTGCTGGAGAAGGCACTTAGTATGGTTCGCACGTTGTGACAGCAGCCAAGCACCTCAGCCTCCTTTTGTCCCGCCACCGACCTCTGCATACGTTTCTTGACTGCATATACCAAAAGCGGTTCCATCCGACTGACGAGTTCTGTCAAGCCCTTGCACTTTGCGGCAAACGCATCATCGTTCAAATGTTTCAGCATTTCCACCGGTTTTTTCTGTCCTACCGCCATCACGGCAAAGAGAAGCACCTCGAGGATTGTCATATTCTCCGGCAGCGCAGCACCATCCTGCATGACGTGGTCCAGCTGTCTCAGGGCCGCGTTGTAGACCTTGTCGATGTTGTCGGGCGTGGCAAGCCGAGCACCCAGTAACAACACCTCAGCGTGCCATATGCCTCGTGTGGTATTAACCTCAACAGGTGTCGTGAGCAACCCTGCATCCTCGAGGACAGGCACGAGGTCGTAGGGTGTGGCACCAACACATTGTCCAATAATACTCAGTGACTCCAACGCACGGTCTGTGTTAAGTGTGTTTTGTGCCAAAAAGGCCTTGAGAAGAGGCACGCCCGCCTCTGCTCGTACCATAGGCAATGCAGCAGCGATGCTCGTGAGTTGAACAAATTCCTGCACAGTGACTGTTGAGAGCACACGAACAATAAGGCTCAGAACATGCTCCTGCACCTCCTCCGTCCACTGCGACCGCAGGGTCGATGCGTGTGCCAGCCTCCTTAGCCGCGTCATGGCCATGCGTCGCTCCTTCTTCAGTTGCTCCTCGTCCTCTGTCTCGCGATTGTCGCTTATCCAGTGCAGCAACTTCGTCACAACAGGGCGGAAGGCTGTCTGAATTAGGGAGTCCAACGCCTTTGAGGCAGCTTGACGCACACCCTCCGCAAATCCTTCTTCGTCCAACATGACCTGCATCAGCACGTCTGCCCCCTCGCGGGACAAATATTCCCACTTCTTATCCAGCACTGAGACGGGCCCTAGCGAAGAGAGCCCCTGCACGGCTGCCATGAGAAGTTGTGGCGTATCCTCCGGGCCACTTAGGATTTTGACAAGAGAAGTGACAACCTTTTTGAGGGCATTGCCGTCACGCAAATACTGCCCGTAGTGGCTAATAAACTCTAGGGTACGCACACGGACCAACAACGACGCCTCCTGGCTTTCCGCATCGTTAAGCGCCTGGAGCAATTCCCGCACAAAATCATTTACCTTTGTATGGTCTTCTGCAACGGCAGCTTGAAGCGTTGCGTACAACTCTGCCGCGTTGCCGCCAGAGCGTGATGCCTCACATGAGGGGGACATGGGCGGTGTGGTGGTTGTGATCTCCTCCGTGGTGCATTCCTCAGCCTCTGCCTCCTTTGCAGCTGCTGCAGCAGCGGACTTCCTTTTTGGGGCCATGGCAGGCGTCAAAGGATTCTATGCGACTGCAACGGTGTGCGAAATGAGAGAGTAAAAGAGCACCCTCGCCTGTGCGTCAAGTATCACGATGAACCTCCCGTGCGGGAGGGAGAACAAACAAAACAAGAGGAAAATAAGCAAATGCCCAGCAACACAAGCAACAGTTCAACTACACAAAAACAAGATAAAAAACAGTCATTTGTAGAATAAGCCACCAACTCACCCAATACAAATAAACAACTGCAAAACATATCGGCGTAGGAAAAGGTGAAATGCAAAGTCCTGCCTCGTGTGCACCCAATCAAAACTACGACGGCGCCTCGTAAACCCGGGCAGCCGGTAAATCTGAGGGCGTAGCCTCACACCGGCGAGATTCAATGCTGCCACAATGCGGCCCCCCTCCCGTCTTCTAAACGTCCCAAAACAAAAAAAAAAAAAAAAAAAAAAAAAACAGAACAACAACCAAAAACATCTCACAAATATAAATTAATTTTTGTTTAAAACGACAAGAAAAGCGCAACTGATGCGGTACACTCCAAAACCTACGCACTAAGCCAGAAACAAAGAAAAAAAAAATGCCAAGCCCCCTGCATCCTTCATTCCGCTCCAGACCCATCGTTTCATCTTCCTTTTGTGCCGGGGGCAAGTGACATTCACCCCAATTTAGATGAACACAGGAGTTTGTACATATCCAAGGCGGCGGCGCACAGCGCGTGCGTAAACTCATCGGCGGCGTAACGTGGACCCTTTTCTTTCCAGCAGGACACATTAAAAGACAGCGTCTCTTTTTCCGCTGCGTAGCCTATACCATAGCCAAGACTTACAGGTCCAAAACCACCACCAACAAGGGCGTCTGAGCAAAATGTAGAGGTGATCATCATGTTACTACAAAGTGTTGCGTATGAGGGATTTGAAAATAAATCAGGGACACGGTTCCGATTTCGGCGTTGTGCTACCATTTTTAAAGCAAACAAATGACGATCCACGCCTTCACCCATTTTGGCAAGCTTGGAGAGCTCGACGTGCTTTTTCATGGCCTTCAACATCGCCTCAACCTTCTCGCTGGCAGTAGCGTGTGGGGCATCCATCAACATTGTGAAGGCTTGACTCTCCATCGTTGCAGAGCGGATGCATTCCGTACGGCCGTGACGATACGCTGCGGTACTGGCACTCTCATACGTGCTAACTGTACTCTTGTACAATCGCCACCAAGCCAGCTGCATCACCATCTGCAAAAACGAATCACTTTTTACGGACCTCTTGCGAAAGATGGGGTCTGATAACCCGACTCCCTTTAACATGCATAAGTCCAAATCCATTCGGCGAATATCCGCGTCAAGGCGTGACCTTGCTTTGGCTGCCTCCTGCTCCAGCCTAGGTGTTAGGCGCCAGTGTAGCTGCTTCACACCCTCAGTAGGAGAGGCATCGCGACGCATCCCTCTGCTGCTGCGCATGATGGAATGGTTTAAAACGTCCTGTGTGTACCGTAGCACAGCAAAACCGTCCCCCCAACTGGGCTCAAAGTTAATGGCAAGAAAACCGTCTTTTGTTACAATGACCGAGAAGCTTTTGTCCCACCATCGGTTCGTGTTCCTTACAAGCAACACACGCGTGGCGTCGACAGCGCCACGGCAATTCAAAAAGTCTACCTCCACGTCATCGTCAAGGTTCAATACAAAAATAGCCGAATCAAGCAGTTCAAAGTTTTTTTGATTCTCGGTGGCGCGCAACATTTCTGTACGCACAGCATGCCACGTTGTTCGGTCGGCGGACGTAAAGATCCCAATGTCCACCTTTGGTGGCCTTGGGTTCAGGTCCGTGATGGCCTTCAGTCTCGCGTAGATCTGCTCCTCTGGAAGCGGCTTACATTCGTTGTCGGCAACGTTGACAACATACTGATGACCACGAAACTGCACAATGATATGCGGCATATAGCTGAAGGATCTAACTTCATCCATAAGTGTTCCCGGCAGACGCGTCGAACTCATCAAATTAGCGTACTGCGACATATCCAGCGGAAAGGCTTGAAAATTAGAGCCGAACACGCACACCTTTGCAGCAATGGACTTTGACGAAAGAGACACCGTGCGCTCAAACCATTCCTTCCTGCTGTAATGCGTTTTTGGAGCAGCACTGAATATATCAGGTTTCAGAGTATTTTCAAGGTACATACGGTAAAAGTCCACACTGCTCGTAATCCAGAAGGTTGCACGGGTGAGCATATCCGGCTTGTCTTGGTCGCGTTTTGTCAGCAGACATGGGTTTGTGTTTATCGGTAATGGTCGTCTGTCTGAGAGAGACAAATAAAACAAGTCCGCCGAGATGTAGGAGGTGTGCTTGTTTGCCTTGTCGGTACGCACCAACTCCTCCTGCAAAACACGCCCCTCGCCAGACTCAAAGTCCTTTACAATTTTGGAGGTAGCTTCAAACTGCCTTGGTGAGACCAAAGGTTTGACAGCGTTCAGGTAGTGAGAACATGTACTCTGCAGCTTTGGAATCGGGAGACGAAAAAGACTTCGCTGTAAGTGTCGTGTTGGGATAATGGAGGCATTCATTACCGTGCTGTCCGTGCATGCCCCTACGGTGTGATTTTCCAGGTACTGCCGTAATGGAGTCCAGTCATGGATGTCGCTTGGCACGGTAAGCAGTCCCATAGCATTCGCCAAGGCACATGAGCAGCGTAGCATCGGTCTTTTTCCCTAGACAAAGATGCGCCGTCGTTGTTGTGGATTTTCCGCTCGGTTGCTTTGTTGTGTTTTCTTTTGGAATTTTTAATGTCGGTTTCGTCACGCTGCTGCGCTGCGCTGCCTGCATCCCCCCCCCCCCCCCCCACCCCCCTCCATGCATCGACCCACAAAGGCAGGGAGGATACGTGGGGGCAACAAGAGAGAATGAAAGACACAGAACTCGGGTGTTGCAAGAAGCAAAGCGCCTCGTAGTAACGGTAGCGCACACCGGAGAGTAAAAATAAAAATTAAAAAATACGCAGATACGAAAAAGCAATCACAAAAGTGAAATCAAACCGGCAAAAAAAAAGAAACAAACAATAGCCACACCCCACCCATTGACATACCTGCGCAGGCGCACACACAAACATATAACAAACATGGGTGTGTGAAATGACGGCAAGCAAAGCAGGGTGTTCAAGATGATGAATGGTTGTGGTAATAATGGTGATTGATACCATCTGGCAAGGTTACTTCAGCAGCGGCGCATCATTACCGTGGCATTCCGCAGTTTAGCGGCGTCAATAGTCAGAGAGCCATCCGTCAAGGGGCGCGGGGGAACTTCACGGGCAACAAGCTGAAAAGACGCCGCGCCCGGCTGGGCGTGCCGCGCCGCCAAAAAGAAAACGTCGCTGATGGTGTGGCGCTTAGGGTTCACCCTAAATTCCTTGCGTTCCCCCAGAAAATTCACAATTGCCAGCTTTGTCGTTTCATCGTCTTCGTGAAGCTCAAAACTGTCGCTCATCGCAACAGGGCTGGCACCCCCTATGGGTTGCGTCACGGAGGGTGAGACTGCCGCGGCTGTTGACGCTGTGGCATCGAGTCTGTGACCCTCGCCGCCAAAGGGCAAAAATGACAACGGAGCGTCACGTTTAGTACAGTCAACCAATCGCACAGAGATATTTGTATTAGGGTAAATTGCCGCAATGCTTCCAGGTACCACGCCTGCTTCGAGCGCCTTAAAAAAGGCTATACCCTCGGGGCCTGCCTTCTGTATTCGCGGTCCATCGTCAACGCGATAGCAGTCACGATAAACCGTGACCACAATGTCCCGTCGTTGCTGCAGTGTAGACTCAATGAATGGGCTTTCTGAGGTTGTGTGTCCAAGGCGTCGTCCACGGCCAAAGAAAAACTGAGGCTTCTCAGTGTCCTCCTCACCCGGCTGCTGACGAACCTTTTTAAAAAGCGACTCGATGACGCTCTCTACCTCACCATCACCGCCAAGCACCACCTGTCCAGATGACGGACCACCACCAACAAAATGTTTTTCGGCCTTCTTCTTGCCAGTTGCGTCGCTTGCCCCTGCTCGCTGTCCCTCATGTGACGACGATGACGCCTGCGACTCCCAATGGTCGTTGGCCGTCTCTTCGAGAAGACGCATGACACTCTCTGCACTCCCACCGTAGTTTTTTAACAGTTCCAAGGCCTCCTCCCGCTTCAACCAAGGCATGAGCGCTGTGAGTGCCTGCACCTCATCGTTTTGATTTTGTGGCATGCTGTTTGTTTGCGTTTAAATGTGTATATTGCACAACCGCGTACCAGCGTATGGCCTTCCCTATTTTTCACGCCTGCTTCCTCCTTTTTTCTCGTTTTTTCCTTGTTTTTCGTTTTGGGTCTACAGGTTTTCTTCACAATCGCACCCGTTCCCTCCTCTCTAAAGTTGTTTTATGGGTTCCTCTTTGCGCTTGAGTTTTGCCCCTCTTTTCTCCCCAAAATTATTGTTGCTTGTTTGCTCTCAGGCTGCCCCACAGACGTCACTGCGCGGTGCAGTGGCTATCCTTCGTGGAGGGAGCGGCGTGGCAGACCATGCAGCGCCGGGGAGGCACCGTGAGGGAGGAGAGAGCGTAGCAAAAAGAGAAAGATGAGGAAAAAAAATACTTTGATTGCCCGCAGCCACCCCAACAAAAAAAAAAGAGATGCGGGGGACACAGCGCAATGAACGTACACGGCATTGAAGTAGACGACACGGGGGAGGTGTCGCACTACAGCGCCTCGCCTTCAGCCAGCTGAGCTGCCGCTAAGGACATAAACGGAAAAGGGTGAGGTAGGCGCCCACAGCGGCTGTGTGTGAAAGGAGAGCACAGCGCGTAAAAAAGGGGAAAGGACCGCAATACTCATTCCGTGAGTATATATATATATATATACGTACACAAGACAAAAGAAAAAAGAAAAAAATACCAGTGCCTTTTGTTTCACAACTTCGCCCTCTCCCCGCATTTGTCCAGTGGGTCGTTGCCTTCCTGGTTGTTGCTTCCGCCGCATTCTCCAATGCGGCAGGATAAGTACCACCAATGGTGAAAGCCACCGCGCCTTTTCTCTGCGCACCTCTAAAGCAAAAGGACTCCTCCCCCTCCCCAATATATTTACATAGCTGTATTGATCGTTCCACACAATTACCTCTCATTATGGGTACTTTAATTATGGTTATTATTGCTGATTGCTCCATCTATCCAGAGACTCCTTTTTCCTGAATCACGCTTCTCGTTTTAAGGCGTTGCAAAAACAACGACAAAAAAGCCTTTCCTTTTTTTATTTTATTTTTCACGTGATGACTTCCGTCAATGAAGATGGCGTCGAAAATTCCACACTTTCCGTGCACGTCGCCGCCATTTTACACAATTCCATCACGCTACAAAGCTCATCCTCCGCAGAATGGTACTGCTGGATGCCTACTGGAAGTTGAGGCGCACGAGACATCACATGCGTTTGCTCCTCGCTTCCTACAGTGGAGGCATACATATCTCCAGTGGTGACCATCAGCTCCTTAGAGTCAACATCTCCTGCGCGCCGTCGCATGGACCGGTCCTCCAGCGCTACAACACGGTTTATAGCCGACCTGCTGAGGCCGCTGTAAAATTTTGACGTGGACAACAGCGCCCCGTCACCACCTTCACCTCCAGGTTCATTCCGCAACACTTCAAAGACATCTTCCGCACCAAGCAAACGACATTCCGGGACGGCACCGCTCATACGCACCGCACGCCTATCCATCCTCTCTCCTTTACGTCGAGGGCACACCTTCGCCAGTTCGTCCATCGTCTGATGACTGCGTCCGCGGAATCCTCGGCTCAAGATATCCTCATCCTCCAATAATTCAGCCATTTTGGCGACGGATATGGCTTCAAGTGAGTGCTGACTTCCGTGCCGTGGGAGAGACACCGGCACGTTACCCACTTGAAGTGGGTCATGTCTAGGCCCCATGCCTCTGAGATCCAGAGGCGGCCCTGTTTCATTTAATGACGCATGGCACTCCAAGACTTGAGCCTTGTTTCCATAGTTCCTCCCATGCAAGGGAGAATTGGGCGGTAGATCCAGCGCTGTGACGACTTTTGGGTGTCCCTCGCCGATGGAGGTGGCAACCGAAAGTCCAGTGAGGGCCGCGGACAGCGACGTGGGAAGTTTCCCCGTAGTGCATGCTTCTAGGCGCGGGTGACGAGGAAATAGTTCATCCTTTCCCTTCTCACCCCACTCGCGCAGCATATCAATCGCAATTACGGCTCCCTCGTCCATCCGCTCCATTTGTGTAAAACTTGGGGCGCGAAGATGCCGACGTGGGCTTCCGATACTATCTTCTACCATTTTGCTACCAGCAGCCCTTGAGTTTACCTCAAGATTATTTTGTGCCACATTTTCCCTCCCCAACAGCCAGTACTTTGAGGGCACCGCAGATGTCGCCTCCTGTTGAGAGTCTGTGTTTGAGTGCTCACTCCTGCTTCTCACTTTCGGCGAGAGGCGACCAAGCGATGCGTCATTCAACGCGTCTTCGCTGCTTTCATCATGGTTAATATTTTGGCATCTCTCCCTCCATCGCTCCTCCTTTTGCTCTCTTGTTTTTTGCACCCGCCTATAACGTTGCAGTTTGCTAGACAGAAGTGGATGAGGGTCTTGTTGCCTGTCCAATTGCGACACTGGGTCTGGCTGGACATGCGCTACAAAATCAGTTTCAGAACCCAGCGCAGGATGAGTCAACAATTGCGGCCGCGCCACCACGTCACTCTTAACACGACTGCCTTCTGTGAGCAATTGCGCGCTCACAAACTCCGCCGCATCAGTGATGGTGGTGGTGGTGATGGTGGTGGTGGTGGTGTTTGACGGGAGCACAACGGTCGATAGAGTGCCAGGTACGCCCATTTATCGTCCTTGCCTACGGGGTGGAGGGAAATACGTGCAAAAGAACACCGAAGAACCACACACCTCTGCTACGCCTTGAACAGCCAACAAGAAAAGAAGCCATCAAAGCCCAATATATATATATGCATATTTGATGTCAACCGCATGAAAATAAACACAACAAAAAGAGGACGACGAAAAGAAACATGGGCGGGGGAGTCACCAGAGACCGCAACGCAACGCAACAAACCATTAGAAACCCACGGAATTAACAAGGCAGAAGATAAAAACAAAATAAAGCACATACATAAATACAGAAGGCAGAAAATAATAATAATAATAAAACAATCAACAATGTCCCTTTCGTTGTGCGACAAGGTGTCCCCATCCACCTCATCCGTCACCCTGCACCATTGCCACCTTTACAACGACGGTGTTAATGTCACACGCGTTAACGCTCCCCCTGCTGTCACCGGCCCCCATCGCCGCGTGCAGCCCTTTCCAAGGAAAGAGGAGACTAAAGGTGAAGATGCCGCCTTCACCATTGCAGGCGTTCTGATTTTGCTCTCTCCCCGCATCCTTGTGGAGAAGAAGCAACAAAAATGGCTTACGTCGCACCCTCCCGCGCGAAGGCATCGGGGGGGAAAAGGTTTATGCCGTTTTCAGCCAGGATGCCAGCCTTGAGTGTGTTTCGCATCAGGTACGCAACCGTCAAGGGCCCAATACCCCCTGGTACTGGAGTAAATGCGGCCGCCTTTTCCCTCACAGACGCCACGTCCACGTCGCCGCACACGCGCCGACGACCAGACGGCGTCCTTCCTCCAAAAGAAGGGTACTCGTTGATTGCCACATCTAGCACGATGGCTCCAGGTTTCACAAAGTCCGCCGTCACCACACGCGGTATACCAATAGCAGTCACCAGAACGTCAGCATGCCGGCTCACCTGCTTCACCGCCTCAAGATCGTTGGAACGGCTGCAAAGTGTCACCATGAAGTTATTCTCCCTCTGTAGCAACGCAGCTGTCGGGACACCAACCACCATGCTCTTGTTGATGATCACAACGTGCAAATCTCTAGGATTCGCAGAAGGCACAAGCACGGCCGCCGCCTTCCTTTCCAAATACGAGAAAAGCAGTGCACGTACTGCCAGCGCCGTACAGGGAATGAAGTAGCGTCCTTCATTCAGAAGATGTGTTGCCAGTGACCCGTCCTTCTCAGTCAAGGAGTTTTTTTGAACGGCCTCCTCATAGACAGGGTTGGAATGCAGAAAAAGGTTTCCTGCATTAAGTGGGTGAAGGCCGTCCACATCCTTGCCAGGGTGAATACACAGGAGAGCAGGACGCACACAAACGTGTAAGGGAAGCGGCAGCTGCAGAAGAACCCCGTCAAATGCATCATCCCCACTGATGTGGCGGAGTTCTTGGTGTAACCGCCCCTCTGAGACAGTTTCGGGAAACCTAAAAAGTTGGAAGCGAATACCGCACGCCTCGGCTGTTCGCTGCTTCACCGCAACGTACCGCAGTGAGTCATGCCGGTTACCAACAACGACAACCGCAAGGCTCGGTGGGTGACGAAGAAGAGCCACCTCGCGTTTAACGCGCTCAAGCAATGCGCCTCCGAGGGCCCGGCCACTGAGCTTCTCTGCCTTCATGAATGTGGTGCTAATTGCCGTATAGTCTTTTTTTTTTTTTGGGGTGGGTGGGGTGGGGGTCTCGTCCCTTCGCCTAGCGCCTGCGGGAACACTATCTCTCCCACACGTATACACACAAACAGGCGTGTGCCTGTTGTGTGACCGGCAACTTGGTTAGGCTTCTCCCTTCTTCTGCACGCACTCCTTCACAACCTCTTCGTTGCGTCGATGTTGCAGTGGAAAATGTACAGCAAAGGAAAGACCAAAAAAAGTGCTGCAGACAGACAGCGCGTTTGTTTGACGCATAGAAACCCGTTCATCACCCACACCCCGGCACAAGGAGTGGGCGAAACTCAAAGAAAGACGCCCTGAATAAAAATGAAAAAAAGAAAAAAAAAAGAATAACCCCCCCCCACCCCACACACACACATATATATATATATAGTACGACTAAC